TACCTGGTAAGATGGTTGATACCTGGTAAGGTCGTTGATACCTGGTAAAGTGGTTGATACCTGGTAAGATGGTTGATACCTGGTAAAGTGGTTGATACCTTGTAAGGTCGTTGATACCTGGTGAAGTGGTTGGTACCTGGTAAAGTGGTTGGTACCTGGTAAAGTGGTTGGTACCTGGTAAGGTCGTTGATACCTGGTAAAGTGGTTGGTACCTGGTAAGGTCGTTGATACCTGGTTAAGTGGTTGGTACCTGGTAAGATGGTTGATACCTGGTAAAGTGGTTGATACCTTGTAAGGTCGTTGATACCTGGTAAAGTGGTTGATACCTGGTAAGATGGTTAATACCTGGTAAAGTGGTTGATACCTGGTAAGGTCGTTGATACCTGGTAAAGTGGTTGATACCTGGTAAAGTGGTTGATACCTGGTAAGGTCGTTGATACCTGCTAAAGTGGTTGATACCTGGTAAAGTGGTTGATACCTGGTAAGGTCGTTGATACCTGGTAAGATGGTTGATACCTGGTAAGATGGTTGATACCTGGTAAGGTGGTTGATACCTGGTAAGATGGTTGATACCTGGTAAGGTCGTTGATACCTGGGAAGATGGTTGATACCTGGTAAAGTGGTTGATACCTGTTAAAGTGGTTGATACCTGGTAAGGTCGTTGATACCTGGTAAGATGGTTGATACCTGGTAAGATGGTTGATACCTGGTAAAGTGGTTGATACCTGGTAAAGTAGTTGATACCTGGTAAGATGGTTGATACCTGGTAAGGTCGTTGATACCTGGTAAAGTGGTTGATACCTGGTAAGATGGTTGATACCTGGTAAAGTGGTTGATACCTTGTAAGGTCGTTGATACCTGGTGAAGTGGTTGGTACCTGGTAAAGTGGTTGGTACCTGGTAAAGTGGTTGGTACCTGGTAAGGTCGTTGATACCTGGTAAAGTGGTTGGTACCTGGTAAGGTCGTTGATACCTGGTAAAGTGGTTGATACCTGGTAAGATGGTTGATACCTGGTAAAGTGGTTGATACCTTGTAAGGTCGTTGATACCTGGTGAAGTGGTTGGTACCTGGTAAAGTGGTTGGTACCTGGTAAAGTGGTTGGTACCTGGTAAGGTCGTTGATACCTGGTAAAGTGGTTGGTACCTGGTAAGGTCGTTGATACCTGGTTAAGTGGTTGGTACCTGGTAAGGTCGTTGATACCTGTTTAAGTGGTTGGTACCTGGTAAGGTGGTTGATACCTGGTAAAGTGGTTGGTACCTGGTAAAGTGGTTGGTACCTGGTGAAGTGGTTGATATACCTGTAAGATGTGTAATAGTCTTCTCTATCGGGATGTCCTTACACATATAGTATGTACCTATATGGTTGATGCATGTCTTGGTATCCCTATTTCTCAATCGATGCTCATGATGTCAGTCACTGAATTGTCTTGCTGAGATATTACGGAGTGTGGCATTAAACAACAAACAAACTGGAGATGAACGAGACAATATGTGGTATCTTTACCTGTTGATTCTTGTACAGGCGATGTCGGGGAATAATATTCTCGTAGTTTGATATCCCCTTGAACATCCCTTCTGTGTCGCTTTACCTGAAGAACCAACCTTCAAACCTGTCCTATTCAACACCACCCTGAGAGAGAGAGAGAGAGAGAGAGAGAGAGAGAGAGAGAGAGAGAGAGAGAGAGAGAGAGAGAGAGAGAGAGAGAGAGAGAGGGAGGGAGAGAGAGAGAGAGAGGTGGGGGGGGGGGGTGCAATAATCTTACTTTGTGACAATGAAAGAACGAAGGATCGGGGACGCTTCTGAAGCATACTAGTCACGTTGACGTATACCATTTAACAAATATAAGATGCTGTGCACACTTTTTTCCATAGCCTTCATCTTCCACTCTTAGGTCCCTTTCACAGATGGCAATGGTCAAACAGTGTAAGGGAGAGTACTCCAGATACTTTACGTTTCCTCTATTCCGTGCCTCCATGTAAATGTATGCTACACGAGTTCAAACCTGCTGGCACCTGGGATGGGTGTTATTCATTTTCACTGTTACAGCGCGATACTAGTTTAATAAACCCCAATAAAATAAATAACATGTCTTATCTGGCGGGGCGGTAGTGTAGTCTAGTGGTCAAAGCGTACGTTCGTCAGGTCGGAGACCCAGGTTCGATTCCCCACAAGGTACACGTGAAGCCCAATTCTGGTGTCCCCAACCGTGAGATTGCTGGACTATTGCTAAAAACGGTGAAAAATATACTCACTCACTCACTCACTCACTCACTCACTCCCCCACCCACTCACTCACTCACTCACTCACTTCTGTCCTCGTTGTTTTTGCATGAATATGTCTTCCAGAAAAAATGGTGCAATCTTTACGCTTCTGAACATTATAAATCTGCTGCATCACTCCCAACACACAATATAGTCTTTACATTGTAAAGTATAGGAGAATAACCGATACTCACAACTCGAAACTACGGATTGACTTGATTTTTAATTGTTCAGCATTAATGGGAGGGACAGATATTCCGTCAGTCAACGAGGAGGGTATTACCCATCCTCCTGTTCCGAGAAAATATAGACGTGTGCAAATACTCAGGGGAACCTCGTGGCTGATACGATGGGGATACAGATGCGGTAGGAGACTAACTTCACCGGTGTCCGTGCCCTCAAGGGTTAGCGCATATTTAAGCCAGGAAATTACCGGGAGGTGGAGGGGGTAGACTCTCCATGTACTTGTCTCGCGTTAAAAAGAAACAGCTTTTGATACTTTGAATTAAAAGTAAACCAGTAATTATGACCCTTCCCAAAATTCAATTGAATATACAGAACAGTAAAAGACACACGTATACTACTACCATCTCGACATATGGATGCGAACTGGCGTTTCTTTTTCTGTTCAGTTATTTTTTATGACCCTGATGACCCCTGGAGCTGTGTTAATATATTCTTTACTTTTTTACCCGTGAAGATCCGGGGTAGATTAGGTCTCCAACAACCCATGATTGTCGTAAAAGGCGACTATGCTTGTCGTGAGAGGCGACTAACGGGATCGGGTGGTCAGCCTCCTGGCTGATGTATGTCATTGTCTCCAAAACAAGGACTGGTCGGTTCGGAGTCAGTATACTGTGTCTGAGTGGGGTATTCATGTTAAACTGTCGCATGGTATCTCAGTGGACTAGCACTATAAATCGGCATCAGTCCGGACTAGTACAAGCAGCCACACACACAAACCTGCATGCACATCGCTATATAAGTGCAATTATCTTGGACGCGACGTTTTACCCTATTTCACCTGGCCACCAATTGCGTGGGTCGATGCTCATGATATCAATCACTGGATTGTTTGGTCCAGACTCGATTATTTACAGACCACCGTCATATAGCTGGAATATTGCTGAGTGCAAACAACAAACAAAACTTTACTGTTTTACAAATCCAGCGCTATATTTTTTTGGTGAAATATTACATTTGGATTCTTTGTTGATTTGTTTGTTGTTTAATTATATATATCCTGTGACTGATATGGTGAGCAACGATCCCCGCCGTCAGAGTACGCGCTCACAACTGTCACCAGCCTGGCCACCGTTTTATAACATCCCTCTTTCGATCACCATGTGTTGCTAGGCGCCTTGTCTTACTCGGAATCCCATTGGAGAGAACAGGCTCCAATACACATATTGGCTGTTTGCACGTACCCTGGCCTATGTCGGGCTGATAGGGCTAGCCCCCCGAAATACCATGCCCGGGTGCCATCTTTCAACTTATTTACGTATGACGCAGCCAGGGATCGAACCACAAACTTTCCTCTCTCCAGACAGATGCTCTATCCACTAGACCACGCCGGCCGTAAAGGGATAAGGGTACTGACATAGCGGGTTTCTTCGTCTGTGGGTATTTGGAGGCGGCTAACATGAGGTGGGTAGAGAGGAAATCTAAAGAATTTATTTTGGCCATACGGTCGACCATATTTTTGGCTGCTGTTTATCCATCGAGAGAAACTTTTTGCTGTTGTTTATCCATGGGACGCAACTCTTTGCTGCTGTTTATCCATCCAGGGAAACTCTTTGCTGCTGTTTATCCATCGAGGGAAACTTTTTGCTGTTGTTTATCCATGGGAGGCAACTTTTTGCTGTTGTTTATCCATGGGAGGCAACTCTTTGCTGCTGTTTATCTATGGGAGGCAACTCTTTGCTGCTGTTTATCCATGAGACGCAACTTTATGCTGCTGTTTATCCATCGAGAGAAACTTTTTGCTGTTTGTTATCCATCAAAGGGAACCTTTTGCTTCTGTTTTTCCAAGCAACTGTTATCTGTGTAAAGTGTTTTCTATCAATCGTTGACAACACTTATCCAACACAGACCGTGTACCGACCCATAAACTATATTACACATGAACAACAACCTTGCTCCTCCAATGTATGACACTTCCATTCCATGAACACACCTGGACCCATTCCTACCATAGCTCATTCGTCACCACTCGCCCCTTCCCGTAACCTGCAAGAAGACTCGTCCCCCTCTCGATGAATGTTATGTGCGAAAATACCACAAACTTATCCGAATGCGCGTATGATTTCAAGTTCTTCGTCAAATAATCCCTCAGAAATAATTTTTGATTTTACTTATGTCTTGCATCTAAAAATATACCCAAGACACAGTGAAAGGTGTTCAATCATACTGCATAATGCCGCACGTTCCAATGTCCTATAAATTGCATCTGAAATATATATAATATATGGGGAAATATATGTGAACCATTACGCAACGAGTTGACACTTGTTTTATGCCCATTTGCACTAAGACGGAACCTAGTTGCAAAAATGGCCACGAGAGGAGCACGAGTCGCTATTCGGCTTGCCCTGGAATAACACGTGTTGGTCACGAATGACCATAGCTGTGTTTGGAGTCCAGTTCAAGGCACAAGCTATAAATACCATACCAGGCCAGGGTCTGTATCATTATAGAAGGGCGACATCACACTACAGATAACCAAACAGAACCACATGTAACTGTGAAAATAATAGTTTATTTAATAGGCATGTTATGTACTATACAAGAAATGCCATCTCACAACAGAGAAACAAGTCCTCCAGTGATTAGGAAGCTATGGCGTATGAATACAAGGTACAGTGGGCGTATAAACACATATCACAGAAAGTAGTGCGACGGATTGGATTGAAATTTGTGATAACACTGTTTTTGTGAAAGTGACATATATAAGATTGTCAATTATCACTAAAAGCACCTGAAATTCCTTTCATATTTGTAAGGAAATTTACAAGCTACTCCTACATATCATTTGAAACTACTAATATTTAGTACAAAAGATATTTATCACTGAAACAATCTTTGTGAAGTGTGCCTAGAGATGGTTATTGCAGTGGCACGTGTTTCCTTACTTCCAAACAACATCTAAATACGTACTTGTAACAAAATCAACAGAATAAACATTCTTTGGGGAAAACTCTATTATACACAATTGAAAATTTGAGGGCATTTACTAAAACATATCTTCCCTCAAATCTTCCACTGGCATAAATCATCAACAGTGCACTGGGTTTTTATTCCACTGTGACAATGTACAATTCAGATCCATTCTAAAAATAGGTCATGATATTAAACCTGCCTCATCAGCATAAAGTTCATCAAGAATACATATTTTGACAAAAAGGATAATCAGTATCTGACATGAACACTTAACAATGCTTAACAGAGTTAACTTTACCCTCAGAGGCTAACAGTTGCTTAACTTTACTTACAGAGGCTTACAGCTGCTTAACTTTACTTACAGAGGCTAACAGCTGCTTAACTTTACTTACAGAGGCTTACAGCTGCTTAACTTTACTTACAGAGGCTTACAGCTGCTAAACTTTACTTACAGAGGTTAACAGCTGCTTAACTTTACTTACAGAGGCTTACAGCTGCTTAACTTTACTTACAGAGGCTTACAGCTGCTTAACTTTACTCACAGAGGCTAACAGCTGCTTAATTTTACTCACAGAGGCTTACAGCTGCTTAACTTTACTCACAGAGGCTAACAGCTGCTTAACTTTACTTACAGAGGCTAACAGCTGCATTACTTTACTCACAGAGGCTAACAGCTGCTTAACTTTACTCACAGAGGCTAACAGCTGCTTAACTTTATTTACAGACATTTAACTTTAATGACAGATGCTTGACTTGGCATCTTGACCAGTCTTAGAAATAGGACAATGTCTCCAGTCTTTGACACAGAATGTCAGGCAGACATGTAGTGTTCCTAGTGTTCACAGCTCGTGTAAGCCTGGTCCTGAAGGACCGTTAATAGATTCCCGGACAACTTCCGGTTTACTGTGTTAGGTTTTCCCTGCTATGACCAACTACAACAAATGCCATATCCAAAATTCTAAAAATATCAACACAATCTGAAATCCTCTACATTTTGGCCGCCATTCACCGTTTTTGGCACAAATAAACCCGACTTCCTCATGAGGAGGAGGTCCCAACTAAAACTGTAAACTGTCTAACACTTGTCACAAACACGACATACAGTTTCTCCAGCAATGAACAAACGCATTACTTCTTACGAACAAAAATAAATTAAAATACATATTTTTACAAGGATATTAACAAATGACTATGGCTTTTATTATGAAATATACAACAAACATTATGAAACATACATTTGCATCTTTCGAAAACTCTTAGTATTAAAAACAGGGCGTTGTCGTTAGTTGACGAATTTAAACATGCAAAAGCAAAACAAGCTTCATGAGGACAGCATCACTTCAAGGAAGATACAGAAGGTGTTAAGAGTTGAATGGTACAAGTGCAATGTACATAAAAGCAGCATTTCCCATGAATAAAACACTGGATGAACACAAGGAATCTGACTTGTAATTTCAGACATGTGTCAACGGCTCAGATTTAAATCTTCCTCTCACTCAAACCTCAGGCCAAGCTGACTCTGTGAAATCGTTAAACATTAAATGTTGACTGTAACAAATACACCCTGATGTACATTTAAAATACTTAAACAGTGTCCTGATTAAAAGGAATTATCAACAAAATGTGTCAACTGTACACTTTAAATTACAGTACTTCTAAAACAGCGATGGGTTTCATTGATACATGAGTGATTCACATTATTTGGGGATTTCTAAAATAAAGTCTTTCCAGCTCAGCAATCTTGACAACAACATATGTAACTGACAGTCATTAACACTTCACATTTCTCATTGTAAAAATATCTCCTCTCATTTCATCCAAACAATTGAGTTTTTTAGTCAGTTCAGTTGAACAATTGGGAAATAATGACTCGTATATTCTAGCACTCATCACATCAATCATGACGAGACGAAGGCAAGAAGTGTCACTTGGCCACAGATACCTGTAACATGGTTTCCTTTTGTCAAGGCGTAATTGCCGAATATTTCTCCTGCCATAAAATTTCCGATACTTGCAACAAACATTGATCATCATTTATTCCAAATACTGATATCTCACTCAGACATAGTGCAGTAACTCCAAATACTCTCCAGGTCGTCATACACTCAGTGATGAGAGCAGTGACTGCCTCAATCTTGATGGTCAATGACTGCTTCTATATTGATGGCAATGACTGCCTTGATCTTGATGGCAATGACTGCCTCCACCTTGATGGGCAATGACTGCCTCCACCTTGATGGGCAATGACTGCCTCCATCTTGATGGCTATGACTGCCTCCATCTTGATGGCTATGACTGCCTCCATCTTGATGGCAATGACTGCCTCCATCTTGATGGGCAATGACTGCCTCCATCTTGATGGCAATGACTTCCCCAATCTTGATGGTTCAATCTCCGTTCTGGATGATGACATGAAGTAGATGTAAAGTGGAATCAGGGTGTAGTCCACGATGACTCTGGCGTTGGCAATGCTGATGTTGTTGATGCTGCCGTTATCTCCAGGCACTTGTCCTGGTGGGACTTGAACCTGGGGAGATGGAAAGGGATTGTGAGTCCTTCAACATTCAAGCAGAGATTTTGCACATTCTAGACACATCCTGCCACATTCAAGCAGAGATTTTTGGCACATTCTAGCTAGACACATCCTTCGATATTCAAGCAGAGATTTGGCACATTCTAGGCACATCCTTCGATATTCAAGCAGAGATTTGGCACATTCTAGACACTTGCTTCGACATTAAAGCAGTGATTTGGCACATTCTAGTCACATGCTTCAATTTTCAAGCAGAGATTGTGCACATTCTAGACACATGCTTCAATATTTAAGCAGAGATTTGGCACATTCTAGACACATGCTTCAATATTCAAGCAGAGATTTTGCACATTCTAAACACTTGCTTCGACATTAAAGCAGAGATTGTGCACATTCTAGACACATGCTTCAATATTTAAGCAGAGATTTGGCACTTTCTAGACACTTGCTTCAATATTTAAGCAGAGACTTTGCACATTCTAGACACATGCTTCAATATTCAAGCAGAGATTTGGCACATTCTAGACACTTGCTTCAAAACTAAAGCAGAGATTTGGCACATTCTAGACACATGCTTCAATATTCAAGCAGAGATTTTGCACATTCTAGACACATGCTTCAATATTCAAGCAGAGATTTTGCACATTCTAAACACTTGCTTCAAAACTAAAGCAGAGATTTTGCACATTCTAGACATATGCTTCAATATTCAAGCAGATATTTGGCAAATTCTAGACACATGCTGCGACATTAAAGCAGAGATTGTGCACATTCTAGACACATGCTTCAATATTTAAGCAGAGACTTTGCACATTCTAGACACATGCTTCAATATTCAAGCAGAGATTTTGCACATTCTAAACACTTGCTTCAAAACTAAAGCAGAGATTTGGCACATTCTAGACATATGCTTCAATATTCAAGCAGATATTTGGCAAATTCTAGACACATGCTCCTAAATTAAAGCAGAGATTTGGCACATTCTAGACACATGCTTCAATATTCAAGCAGAGATTGTGCACATTCTAGACACATGCTTCAATATTCAAGCAGAGATTTGGCACATTCTAGAGACATGCTTCAATATTCAAGCAGAGATTTGGCACATTCTAGACACATGCGTCAATATTCAAGCAGAGATTTTGCACATTCTAAACACATGGCTTGTGTTCAGATGAACATGAACAAATCTGTTAACTTATGAGAATTTTGAATCGTTTTGCTAAGTACTCAAATAATGCAAAAAAGGTTCTACCTTGTACTTTTAGGAACATTCAACCCATTCGGCCATCATTTAAATTCAAGTAACTGTTGGCATGGTAACCTACCAGTGGTGTAACTTCCAAGGCGGGTTTGAAGATTCTCTAGTCGATGAAGGAAGTCGTCTGTAGATTCGTCTGCAGTCGTAGCTCGCGTCATGGGGTGACTTTGACCATACGTGCTCATGGTCCCACTGGTATTAGTTTGAAGCAGACGTCTGTGGGACAAATATTTCCTGTTAATACACTGACCAATGGTCAAAACTGGAGTGAACTTGGGACTCGAACCCATGATCAGCATATGCTGGCTTGGCAAAGGTAGACAACTCTGCAAGCACACCTGAAGATGGTCTCATGATGTAATATGTTGATGAAGATACTGCTGAATTTGATGAATTGATGACTGAATTTTGATGATACTTGATGTTAATTTTATCATGTGAAAATTACTTCCGTGTAAAAGTAGAAAGGGCAAATCATAAAAGCATAAAGTAACATAACTATCGAGCTAGGAGCGTAGCGACAGTCGAAGTGAAGAGATCTTTTGGGGGGAACGAGAAGAGGATCAGTTCCACAAATTGTTCTTAGCGATGCTTTTCTCCATTTTGGGTCAATCTTAGCACTAACAGATACCAAACCCAGCCAGACACACCCAACACCACCCTTTTCACCATACCAAACCCAGCCAGACACACCCACCACCACCCCTTTCACCGTACCAAACCCACACTGACATACCCCATCCACACAATCCTTACCACAACCACACCCACCCATTGGAGCCTAGCCAATCTTAGTTGTATCCACCCAACACCACACCACCCAAACACACATTACTTGCTATCTCACACATCCACCCCCTGACCTCAACCACCTCTCTCTGACACAACCACCTCTCTCTGACACAACAACCTCTCTCTGACACAACCACCTCTCTCAGACACAACCATCTCTCTCAGACACAACCATCTCTCTCAGACACAACCATCACTCTCACACACAACAACCACCTCTCTCAGACACAACCATCTCTCTCAGACACAACCATCACTCTCACACACAACAACCTCTCTCTGACACAACCACCTCTCTCAGACACAACCATCTCTCTCAGACACAACCATCTCTCTGACACAACCACCTCTCTCAGACACAACCACCTCTCTCTGACACAACCACCTCTCTCAGACACAACCACCTCTCTCAGACACAACCACCTCTCTGACACAACCACCTCTCAGACACAACCACCTCTTTGACACAACCATCTCTCTCAGACACAACCACCTCTCTCAGACACAACCACCTCTCTCAGACACAACCACCTCTCTGACACAAACTCCTCTCTCTGACACAACCATCTCTCTAAGACACAACCACCTCTCTCTGACACAACCACCTCTCTCTGACACAACCATCTCTCTCAGACACAACCACCTCTCTCTGACACAAACACCTCTCTCTGACACAACCACCTCTTTCTGACACAACCACCTCTCTGACACAACCACCTCTCTCAGACACAACCACCTCTCTCAGACACAACCACCTCTCTCAGACACAACCACCACTCTCAGACACAACCACAGACACACTCACACAGAGACTCTCACCCAGAGACTCTCACCCACGCATGGAATCTCACCTTCTAGCACTGGAGGAAGGAGTTCTATCACAGGATGTGTGACTAGCACTGGTGTCTTTTGTTGGGGGTGTTGTAAACTGGCGTCTTGTAGCTCCGGCACTGGAGGTCAGGCGGTATGGGTTGGCTACATCGCCATTTAACACCAAGAGGGGTTCGGAGGTTGATGATCTCGGGAGATCGGGAATTCTGGACATTGATGGGAAGTAGCGTGGGGAGGTCGCGGGTTGAGGATGTGTGTAGGTCGACGGCATGTAACCTGAAAGTAGTTGTAATAAGTATTTTCTTTTGTTACATATTACACTACAACTGCTCATGATATTGACAACACTGTACAGAACTAGGTGGTTCAACACAGCACGGCAATCTGAAACTACCACAAAGCTGACAATTCACAAAATATTTTGACCTGGAAATCTGTTACCATGTAAAAGAAGGGAGTTACGATCATCTTAGCACAAAGATTGTATTTTTGTCAATATTTCACAAAGACTTAACTCTAAAACATTTGTTTTGTTTTCTACAACACTACATTTTCTAATGGGTTGAAAGTTTGGAGTCAGGGGCAACAAAAACCTTTTCTCTAAAAAATATATAGCCTGTTTTGTTCTAAATTAAGCAAAATTAAGCAAATGTGCCTGAGGTTCAACTGGGTTGCCAATATTTGAAGATTATTTGAGTCATGTTAACAAGATGCTGCTGTGACTGATGTACCCTGATGCTGCAACCTACCGACATTCATGTTGACACGCCCACTCACGACAGGGGAGCCCACTCTGATTGCACGTCGCCACTTGCGGACCATGAACCTCATTCTGAAACATAACACAACATCATAAGCAGATCCAGGACTTGACTCATCTCAGAAATAATACCATACCTTCATTCTGTCACAGGCAAGGTGAGGTGAAATGGGCTTTCATTGCATTCAAGATTATTGCACATGTGTGTACGTGTGTGTATGTGTACGTGTGTATGTGTACGTGTACGTGTGTGTATGTGTACGTGTGTGTATGTGTACATGTGTGTATGTGTACATGTGTGTATGTGTACGTGTGTGTATGTGTACATGTGTGTATGTGTATGTGTACGTGTGTGTATGTGTACGTGTGTGTATGTGTACGTGTGTGTATGTGTATGTGTACGTGTGTGTATGTGTACGTGTGTGTATGTGTATGTGTACGTGTGTGTATGTGTACGTGTGTGTATGTGTACGTGTGTGTATGTGTATGTGTGTGTATGTGTATGTGTACGTGTGTATATGTGTACGTGTGTGTATGTGTATGTGTACGTGTGTGTATGTGTACGTGTGTGTATGTGTATGTGTATGTGTACGTGTGTGTATGTGTACGTGTGTGTATGTGTACGTGTGTATGTGTACGTGTGTATGTGTATGGTGTATGTGTACGTGTGTGTATGTGTACGTGTGTGTATGTGTATGTGTGTGCATGTGTACGTGTGTGTATGCATGTGTACGTGTGTGTATGTATACGTGTGTGTATGTGTACATGTGTGTATGTGTACGTGTGTGCATGTGTACATGTGTGTATGTGTACATGTGTGTATGTGTATGTGTGTATGTGTACATGTGTGTATGTATACATGTGTGTATGTGTATGTGTACGTGTGTGTATGTGTACGTGTGTATGTGTACATGTGTACGTGTGTGTATGTGTACATGTGTGTGTGTGTACGTGTGTGTATGTGTGTATGTGTACGTGTGTATGTGTACATGTGTACGTGTGTGTATGTGTACATGTGTGTATGTGTACGTGTGTGTATGTGTACATGTGTGTATGTGTACGTGTGTGTATGTGTACGTGTGTGTATGTGTACATGTGTGTATGTGTACGTGTGTGTATGTGTATGTGTGTGTATGTGTATGTGTGTGCATGTGTATGTGTGTGAACTGTGAAAACAATCCATTCCACCGATAACGAACATTACTCACCGTAATGACAGAAAATGCAAAGTGCACTTTTCAAATAATGACAATTTTCCAAGTGCTAAACATCATCTGTCGTCATGGCTGTGGCTTTGTTGGCCTTAATTGGAAAATGCTGTTTTTAAGAATTGATCATTTTATAAGTGAAGTTATTAGAGTGTCTGGCTGTGCTCTAGACACACTAGACACCTACCTAGCTATAGCGATGATGACTCGGGCGGCACTCCGGAAGAGGCCGAACAAGCGGGAGTGTCTGCTGCGTCGCCGCGCGTCGATGTCGGAGGGGTAGCCCCCCATCTGTGCTATCAGCATCAAGGTCTCCTGCTCACAGTCCTGGTACCCCCCGAGGAGCATCAGCAGGTAGCGTTTCTGATACACCAGGGCCTTGCGGAAACTCTCCGATCTCAGGAACTTGCCATACAGTCTTTGCATCTGTCACGGAAACCACATTATTCAGGAAACATCTCAAGGTATACTATATTGATTCTTTTACTAAATTAAAATGAAAGCAATTATCACTAGTTAACATTTAAAAGTTTCCCCTGACTTGTTTGTTTGTTTGTTGTTTAACGTCGCAATCATCAACATTCCAGCTATGTCACAGCGGTCTGTAAATAACCGCGTCTGGACATAACAATCCAGTGATTGACGGCATGAGCATCAATCCATGCATCAACCAAGTCAGTGAGCCTGACCACCTGATCCCGTCAGTTGCCTTTTACAACAAGCAAAGTCGCCTTTTACAGCAAGCATGGGTTGCTGACGACCTCTTTTACCCCAGGTCTTCATGTGTTGGTTCCACTATTTCTCACCTTGTCTCTATCTGCCTCTGTGAGATACCCCTCCGAGTCCAGCTGACCTCTGACGTGACGAATCTCTGACTGCAGTCTCTCCACCTCATGCTCAGCAGTGTCCAGGGTCATCTGCAGCGACAGCCTCTCACTGGCCCAGGACATCCTGTCCTGGAGGTACCGATTTTCTTCCTCCTCCTCATTCCTCCGAACCTGATACACCAGGAATAAGCAGTATTGATTACTCCAATTACACTCCTGTCTTTATAGGTTAAAGGAATGTTATGATTTCCAGTCTCCCAAACTTGACCCATTTATATCAGTTCTGACCTTGACCCAGATGGAGGTGAAAGCAACCTGACCTTGGTATCACAATCCCGGCCTTGACCCAGATGCAGGTATCAGGTATCTGACACTCGTACTTAGATCCCTACCATGATTCAGATGCAGGTGTAAGCTACCTGATCCTTGTACCCAGATCCTGACTTTGACCCAGTTGTATCAGTTACCTTCCTGACCCAGGAACCTAGATCCCAACCTTGACCCTGATGCAGGAGTCAAGAACCTGACCCTTGTATTTAGATCCCAACCTTGACCCTGATGCAGGAGTCAAGAACCTGACCCTTGTATCTAGATCCCAACCTTGACCCTGATGCAGGAGTCAAGAACCTGACCCTTGTATCTAGATCCCAACCTTGACCCTGATGCAGGAGTCAAGAACCTGATCCTTGTATCTAGATCCCAACCTTGACCCTGATGCAGGAGTCAAGAACCTGACCCTTGTATCTAGATCCCAACCTTGACCCTGATGCAGGAGTCAAGAACCTGACCCGGGTACCTAGATCCCAACCTTGACCCTGATGCAGGAGTCAAGAACCTGACCCGGGTACCTAGATCCCAACCTTGACCCTGATGCAGGAGTCAAGAACCTGACCCTTGTATCTAGATCCCAACCTTGACCCTGATGCAGGAGTCAAGAACCTGACCCGGGTACCTAGATCCCAACCTTGACCCTGATGCAGGAGTCAAGAACCTGACCCTTGTATCTAGATCCCAACCTTGACCCTGATGCAGGAGTCAAGAACCTGACCCGGGTACCTAGATCCCAACCTTGACCCTGATGCAGGAGTCAAGAACCTGATCCTTGTATCTAGATCCCAACCTTGACCCTGATGCAGGAGTCAAGAACCTGACCCGGGTACCTAGATCCTGACCTTGACCCTGATGCAGGAGTCAAGAACCTGACCCTTGTATCTAGATCCCAACCTTGACCCTGATGCAGGAGTCAAGAACCTGACCCGGGTACCTAGATCCTGACCTTGACCCTGATGCAGGAGTCAAGAACCTGACCCGGGTACCTAGATCCTGACCTCGATAAAGATGCAAGTGTTAAGTACCTGACCTTTGTATCTAGATCTTGATCTTGAGCCAGATGCATCAGTCTGATACCTGACTCTGGTTCCCAGGCATCAGCCAACTGACTCTGGTACCTAGATCATGACCTTGACCAGATCAAGCATCAGCTTCCTAATCCTGGACCTGACCTTGACCTTGAAACAGGAGTCAGCTACCTGACCCTGCTACCAAGATCCTGACCTTGACCCAGATGCTAGCATCAGCCACCAGACAACTGAATCAACTACCTGACCCTGGGACAGAGATCCCCACCCAGACCAAGAGGCAGGAGTAAGCTACCTGTGTGTGTCTGCCCTGCCTCCGCAGCCTAGCTACATCCTCCTCCATGGCGTCCAGAGTCACTCGGAGCTCTTCCTTCTCCTGACACACCCGCTTCAGGAACAACGTCAACTCTGCATTGTGCTGCACGATGCGCTCGTTGGCCAGCTGACCAGCTGATGCACTGGCACGGACCTGCATGACACAACATATACAATCATCACTGGTACTGATTGAGGGCGTCACAATTCAATCGGGTCAATGCACCATAGAATTAACCACATGACAATTAGGGCTGGGACGATACACTAACTGTGCGTTCCAATACATATCACGATACCGTGCCCAAGATCCAATACATATCACGATACTTGCATGTGCTCTTATCTGTGGTCGTAAGCCATCTTGGACAAGATGGCAAAATACCTGGCACACTGATGATTCACAGTTGGCAGTGTCATATATGGTGCATTGGATGTGACCAATACTTGTATAGAGGAGTCAAAAATTGTGATTCACCAATGTATCGATGTATCAATGGATTGATGTATTGATTGATTGATGTATCAACGTATTTATTGATGTACTGATTTATGTATTGAATGATGTATTGATTGAATGATGTATTGATTGACTGAGTGATTATGGTTTTACGCCACTTCTTGTGACAATATACAACATGCTTTTAATATTGCACATATCTATGCGAAACCTTTGTCACAAGCTAATTCGCATATCACATGACCAGACCAGAATCACCATTTCACTGAAACCAGTTTCTCAATGTAACAAATAATTCCATGGCATAACTGATCCAGATGAGCAAACTATTCCAAAGCAAGATGGATGAGAACTCTCTGTAACTGTGTGGCGATGATTACTCCCATTTAGCTGGCCTGTGTCAGATGGCTGACCATGAGTCCCTGAGAGTAGAGTCTAAAGACGATGAGTTGATTAGTGTTTGTGCCACCCACCTCACTAGACTCGAGTGGTTGTTGTAGTTGTTTCATGTCCATGAGTACTGCCTGGATGTCCGCCACGTAGTTCGATGTCCTATCAACCTGGGCGTCCACTTCATCCCCTCCGCACTGTCGTGGGGTCAAGGTCACATCATCCTGCATACGCAGGGCCAGGAACTCCAGCCTCTGTACCAGGTTATCAAAGTTGTCTTTCCTCAATGTCGGCCTGCCATCAACACTGGTCCTCACATTGACTGCTGCAGCTGGTGGCTGAGGAAGATTGAAGGAGAGAGTAGTAACGACATCTGACATTGATAGATTGATTGATTGAGAGTAGTGACGATATCGTACATTGATGGATTGATTGTTTGATTGATTGTTTGATTGATTGATTGATTGATTGATTGATTGATTGATTGATTGGTTGGTGACAGCATCAATACCATTGACATAGCTACATGATGAGCTCCCTACCCTGTCACTCGAGCTGGTGGTGTGGTGAGTTGTGGTGGTGTGGTGAGTTGTGGTGGTGAGTCTCAGTCGGTCCAGCTCGTGCCGGGTCTGGAGCTCCCGCCCTCGGACGTCATCCAGCTGCAGCTGTGTGTCCTGCACCTTGTCCGTCAGCCGGTCTGTCTCCAGTTCCAGCTCATGCTGAAACAGCAACTCAAGTATTCCTATCTACCACAACTCAAGTATTCCTATCTACCACAACTCAAGTATTCCTATCTACCACAACTCAAGTATTCCTATCTACCTCAACTCAAGTATTCCTATCTACCACAACTCAAGTATTCCTATCTACCACAACTCAAGTATTCCTATCTACCACAACTCAAGTATTCCTATCTACCACAACTCAAGTATTCCTATCTACCACAACTCAAGTATTCCTATCTACCACAACTCAAGTATTCCTATCTACCTCAATTCAAGTATTCCTGTACATTGTAATGCAACCATTGTTTACAAAATACTCCATTTCTGGTGTCCCCCGCCGTGGTATTGCTGGAATATTGCTAAAAGCGGCGTAAAAACAAACTCACTCACTCACTACAAAATACTCCAAATATGACAACATTCCAGACAAGGGGAGACAACCCTCTTACCAGTTTGATCTTCAGTTCGTCCCTCTCCCGCTCCAGATCTCGGACAGTTTTGCGTACTGCAGCCTGTTGGCTGTCTGTCCGCATCTGGAACTCGTTCTCCCTCTGCTTGAGGACCTTCACCTCCTCGTGGAGCTGCTCCGTCTGGTTCTGATAGGTTTTTATTGTCTCACCCTCAAACTCAACTTGTCGTTTCAGCTCCGTCTTCTCAACCTTGAAAACAAGGATGGAATAAAAACAAGATATTCCTTTCAAGTTTTCCATCTTAGGCTTAAAAAAATAAAATAATTGGTTCTAAAGCAATAGTTTTTGAAAATATAGTGCGGGCGGGCAGTGTCTTTTTTTTTGGGTTGTTCAAACTAGTATTTAACCAATAAACAGTTGTGTAATCAATAAACAATTGTGTACAATCAACCTGGGACAGGGCGTCCCTACATAAATTTATTCCTTGATGAGTAAAATACTGGAATACAGTATACCACTACTGTTGGACTTGGAATATTTAAGGATTTGTGTGTGGGGGGCGGGGGGGGGGGTTTAAAAAATGGAAATAAAAACGAAACGTGTGGCGAACTTTATGATGATGCGGGCAGTGTCTGAGAACCAAGACTATTATTTTATTTAGCCTTATTAACTGATGTCAAACAGGTTCTGATTCAGTGGGTGGTGTTACATTCTCTCTAATCACTGAGCCTTAAAGTAATGCATTCTTCCTCTAATCACTGCTGTGTTGTGAAAAGCTGTGTTTTACAGTGCAGACACCACACAACACCCATATCTCACATTCACCCGAACACTACATCGTATCCATCAACTTCTTATCTCCTCCATCAACTGACCTGCAAGTCCTCAGCATCCCTCTTCAGCTGCCTGTTGACTGCTCTCTCGTGCTCCAGCGTCTGCCTCGTGTTCTCCCGCTCGGTCTCCAGCATCTCGCTCACACTCACCACCTTCTGCTTCTCCCGGGCCAGCGAGCGATGGAGGTCCTCCACCTGCGCCTGGTCCGACCTCAGCCGCGCCTCCATGTCCTCGATCGTACCTCGGTCCTGACTGGCAGCCTCCTGGTGATTTGTCCTCTCCAACTCGAGAGCCGTCCTCAATCGGGTGGTCGTTTGTCGTTCCTCATCCATGTTTCTGATGAGGCAACAAAAACATCTTACTTTACGTACAAAGAACAAAAAAGTAGTAACGTCCAACAATACAACCACAGGACTTCAACAAAATGTATCAGATCTGAAATACATTGCATAAAGAGACCTGGGGTCTGTTCCACAAAGCGATCTTAGTGCTAAGGTTATCGTATCTCCCATACCTTAACACAGTGAGTGAGTGAGTGAGTGAGTGAGGTTTTACGCCGCTTTTAGCAATATTCCAGCAATATCACAGCGGGGGACACCAGAAATGGGCTTCACACATTGTACCCATGTCGGGAATCGAACCCGGGTCTTCAGCGTGACGAGCTAACGCTTTAACCACTAGGCTACCCGACTGCCCCTACCTTAACACAGACGTATGACAGTCACAGTACTAAGATCGCTTAAGGAACAAGGTCCTCAAACATCAACTCAGGAGTCATGAACTTACTGACTAAGATCCTCGACTTTGCCCCTCTCAGCTTCCAGGGACAACTTGAGCTGTGCCACCAGTGCGTCACAGTCTGTCTGCACAGAACGCATCTTCCGCCGCTCTCCTTCCAGCTCCTGCTGCACGCCATGTTTGGCGGATCGTTCTTGTTCCGTCTGTCTGGAACACTCCACGCGTTTCTCCCTCTCGCGCTCTAGTTCAATACGTAGTTGCTGAAGCAGGGACAGTAAGGATGAAGTAGGTCATATCAATGAGAACACAGAGAGCAAATCATGGCATCATCATCATCATCATCATCATCATCTTTAGTGTGGAAGGTAACTTTGTGTTGTGGAGTTTGTACAATCTAGTCAAATACTATTCATACACACTCTTCAAACCTTGCATGTGATGTTTATCTGTAGTGTCATTTGAAAGGCTGTGTTGTTCACACATTGTTGTGTGTGTGCATGCTCTCCTTGCTGCAGTAAACTATTAGGGTATCGGAGATCGCTACCTCCACAAATCTGCTCTCCTTGCTGCAGTAAACTAGTAGGGTATCGGAGATCACTACCTCCACAAATCTGCTCTCCTTGCTGCAGTAAACTAGTAGGGTATCAAAGATCGCTACCTCCACAAATCTGCTCTCCTTGCTGCAGTAAACTAGTAGGGTATCGGAGATCACTACCTTCACAAATCTGCTCTCCTTGCTGCAGTAAACTAGTAGGGTATCGGAGATCGCTACCTCAACAAATCTGCTCTCCTTGCTGCAGTAAACTAGTAGGGTATCAGAGATCGCTACCTCCACAAATCTGCTCTCCTTGCTGCAGTAAACTAGTAGGGTATCGGAGATCGCTACCTCCACAAATCTGCTCTCCTTGCTGCAGTAAACTAGTAGGGTATCAGAGATAGTTACCTCAACAAATCTGCTCTCCTTCTCCAAGTAGTCCTTGTTGTGAGAGCGGAGGTCAATGACCTGCGAGTTCAGCAGCACACACTTCCTCCTCTCCGACTCCAGGAGCTCCGACAGCCGACTGTTCTTGGTTCTCTCTTCTTCCAGAGCATCTCTGGAAATACCGGGCAACATATGCAAATCTATTCATAATTTACTCTGTAAACATATCACCTTGCAAAGTTGCTTCATCAGCAATTTTTCATAAATATGTAACCTGACTCCTAAACTGAGCATCACGAACGTTGCAGTTACTTAATCTTATATCTCATTTCAACTGCTACACATCCCCTACTGAGAACACAAATACTCAGATATTGAAATATATTGAGAATACATCACACATCATCACACACTTACAGAGATTTCACAACTAATTATAACATCTCCTAGCAACATCACTGCAAACAGCTGCATCACTGCTAATGACATCGTCTAGATCAGACACAGTCACTTCCAGACCATGATACTACACAAAAACCTGACAAACAGTCCACATGATCAATAACCTTGTGGAGTATTACAAGTTGAAATAAAAAATTTCACGACATCAGAACTTGCATGCTTAACACGCAGATAATGACGAAGAAAACACGAGATATCCATGCAACCTGGCAAATTATTTCATGACATCACACAAACCTTCAAATCACACATTCAAATATAGACCATACAACTGAAACTTCATACCATATAGATCTATGAAACAAGAAAACACCAATCCCTTGTTAGTTGAACATGAATGGCACAAATATTCACCCGACAAATACATAACCAAACAAGGGAGAAACAGTTTGTATCAACATGCTTGTTATGTGATGGGATGTGGGTTATGGGGAATAGTGTCAATCCGGGAAGTGTAACGTCGCATTTAAGGGGCTCGTCATAGGTTTCTGGCATGCCCAAGGGACGCAACTCTGCACATGAAAATGCAGAGCATAAGGCAACTTTGCCACCCATGCCCCCCTGAGGCAAGGGTGAGGTGAGGTGAAATGGGGTTTAACATAGCGTTCAAGATTATTGCACTTATATAGCAACGTGCATGCACATGTGTGCAGCTGTTTGTACTAGTCCGGACTGATGCCAGTTTATAATGCTAGCCCACCGAGATACCATGCCGCAGTTTAACATGAATACCCCACTCAGACTCAGTATACTGACTCCGAGCCGACCAGTCCTCGTTTTAGACCCTTAATGTCAAGCGCCAGACAGGGTAACAACAAGTACCATCTTTTTGGTATGACGCGGATGGAGATCAAATCTCGGACCTTCCGCTCTCCGGGCAGACGCTCTACCACTGGACCATGGAGGTGGTCCTGAGTTCACTGACTGAAAGTCCAGTTTCAACCCTTGCCACACTCAGCTGGAATTCCATTTCAATTTGGCTGGACTAACAAGTCTATGCCTAGTCCGATCAAAACCTCGTAACAAACTAGACATACGGATCATAAACAACATGGATTTCAATGTGCAGATTTCGGAAAACTGCAGGATTTGCAAAGCATGTGTACCTCCAACTAGGCGTCGACAGATATTTTCCAAATATTTTCATGTTTTTTATCAAGGTACTCAAATAATCTGATGCACTTCGCGAGGTAAGACCTGCCTTATTACAAAAGAGGTCTTGACTACTGATCAGATCGTCCCGACTGTATGCCGCCATCTTGTGTGCAACAAAGGCAAGCTATACTAGAGGTGGAATTCGATAGGTCATTCGGATGGACATAGAAGGGTCATAACTCGTAAAAGCCACCAAAATCGAGCCATGAAATTCAATCCCGGTTCGGCAAGGGTGGAAACTGGACTTTTATTGTCAGTTAACTCCCTTGCCTCGGGAAGATGTGTAGTACTGATGACCTTCATTACGTCACCCTACAGCCTATAGGGGGTCATAACACTATACATACATCTTATCCCCAAGTTTATAACCCATGCGTATTGAGCCTATGTACCCTAAAGCCTTGGAGTATAACGTATCAGTAATACAATTAAGGGTAGTCCTGGGGTCCTGGAGGTTTGCTCCTATGGTCACTGAATCCAGGGCAAACTTAATATGTAACTCTAGACATCAGGGCAATCAGGGCACCTTGACTGTCATGCTTGACTCCGTACGTCATGAAGTCAAGGATTCCTTGTCCGAGCCCTCAAGTTAAACCTTAAGATTTAGGGTTCCTTGATTCTAATACCTCTGCAGCAACCCTCAAGGACTCCAGTTCCCCTTAATGTAATGCATATAGGTGCATGTGATGGCTGAAGCATAAATAGACTGAACCACATACATGGAGTATATATATCATTATATCATATACACGGAGTATATATACCTATATATCATATACACGGAGTATAGTCTTTTGTTGATATACATCTGAGCTGTTGATAAAGGTCATGTTCCATTGCGTGATTATGAATCATATACATTGTCAACACATCGTCAGCATATGGGATGCTAATATCTTCAGATGTATCCATCAACCAGAGGCTTAAACCACAAGGACTGACGTCACCTGGTGCAGTACTCTATCCCCATGTCGTTAACTCCACAGCTTACAACTGATTGGAAATGTTTTACCCAAACCTACATGGCGGTTCAGATTTATAAGAATGCCTATTAAACAAAGTCTTGATTGTGTATTATTTTGGCAATTTAAATTTACTCAACTCAATTTACTCAACTCAGACTTTGTCCAAGTGGCTAACGTCGATGATTGTGAAATACGTGTGACAAGATCTCCTATAGACCTGGGTGCCGTTGTACAAAACAACCTTAGCACTACGACAGTCGTAAGTTTATGTTAATGTGTGGGAGTTACGATCTCCTTAGCGCTAAGATTGTTTTGTACAATGGCACCCTGGTGCATAACTTCTCCAAGACCATGACTCCATGTAATCTCAGTCTGTTGTGTTACGCCACACTGGCCAATATTCCAGCTATATGACGACAGCCTGTAACTAAATTGAGTCAATCTGGTGACGGTCCAAACTGTCAAAAAAGTCACATGACCACCCTGTCCAATAAGTGGCCAGGTACGGTCAGCACGGTTTCTAGACTGGAATGCCCTGGGTGTGGTCAGTTTAGTCATGTGCTTAGGGGGATGTTAGTTTTTGGAGGGGGGGGTCATCACTGTTCTGGGGATTCACAAACATTGATCCATCTTCCCTTGACACTGCATTTGACTTTAACCTTCAAGAGTTATTTATTTAGTATATTTTCACATCTTTAACATAATGAAAAAGATAAATCTTCAAGACTATATGAGCCCCGTAATCTTTTAAACGGCTTACTGACTGAAATCCTGATTCCTCAAGACTAGTTCTTTGTTTGTTGTTAAAGTTACACAATAACACTGTTCCATCTATATGACGGTAGACTAAAAAATCTCTTCTGGACCCGATACTCCAGTGATTGATATAATGAGCAACAATGCTTGATGTCAAGGTATGACAACACGTAATCAACCAAATAATCTCTAGCAACCAGCATCGGTGGGGATCTATTGTAGCCTGGAATCCCCCCCAGGACCTCTGTGATTATTCCCAGAGATGAATTCCCAGTATTATGGTGAAACTTCTCAATATTTTCCAAAAACTAAAATCAGTATAATTTCACACTCTGAACAACAAACAATCTGAAAGAACTATCGCCCAAGTACAACCATGTGAAGGAACTATTCCCCTGTGTCTCTAGCCAACTAGCCGACTAGCTGACTAGCACGTCCAACACGGACAGATTATGATCAAGACAGGACACCTGGTGGCATGCAAGGTTGGTCGGCAGGCAACTTACATCACGGTGTTCCATATCTCCCTGTGTGGAGAAGATGGGTTGGGAGAATGAGAACACAACAGAAACAACATTTTGAAATACAGTACATAGCCCAGTCAAGGGAATAATACTCCAGCATGTTGTATTCTTACTTGCACAAATTTCAGTCAAATATATTTCATCAATGAAGTATGTATACCTAACTAAATCGAGCAAAAATAAACTTTCAGCTGAACAAACCTGCTATAGGAAACCAGTAAAGTAATCAAAGCAAGAAACAGAGTAATGGGCATTTCGCTCAGAGTGTGTGGTTTAACGCCGCTTTTAACAGTATTCCAGTTATATCACGGCGTGTCAGCTTAATGTGGGAGGAAAGTCAGAAGTGATGCAGGTCTCAGATGGTAACCACTTCAGTGAAACCCACGAGCACGGGTATGGTGCTGACAAACCTAGAAACACAATCAGGGTATACCGGGATTCGAACCCACAATCATAGGTTTCTGGTGTGCCCAAGGGACGCAACTCTACACAGCGAATCGCGGCGCCTTAGACGACTGGGCCACCCGAATCAAGGAAGAACAAAAAGAATATGGCAAATGGAATTTCTACCATTCTCTGCAGATTACCTCCATATATGGTAAAAGAATTACAGCTGATGGCACCATACATATGTGCTTGTGTACAAGTACAAGTAAACGAGAGTTTACGCATTGTCACACATGACCTCCGACCTCTGTTGGATGATACAACCAAGGACAACATCAAGGATGTAGCCACGATACAGATTCATCTCCTGGATGTTGAGGGCGGATCGCGGGGCCAAAGTAACAAAGCGAACTTAGCGATGAACCTTTCATACCACACCTTCTTAAACACATATTCCAGATTTAAAAAGGAAACATAAAAGTCAAGGGGTCAGAACCCAGCGGTTGAAAAATAAAAGCTCAGCTCCCAGGATCAAGATTGAGTGAGTGTGTATGGTTTTACGCCACTTTTAGCAATATTCAAGAATTATAATGGCGGGGGCATACAGTAAAATGGGCTTCCCAATTGTACCCATGTTGGGAACCAAACCCAGGTCTTCGGTGTGATGAGCCAACCCTTTAACCACTAAGGTACCCCAATGCCACCGTCCCCGCCCAGGATCAAGACATTATAGCAGAAAGCTTCAAGGATCTCCCGCAATCTAAAATGTGTGAGACTGTTTACGACAGTCGTACTCTATGGTAATTTCGTACAAATGAACACTCAAGCCCTGAGAATGTTTCTTGACCAACAAATCACACAAAGTTTCTACATACGTGACTGAGATGAATCTGTTGTGCTCCCGCTCCAGAGCATCCCGAGCTTTAGACAGCTGTATCTGCACAGTGGAGAGTTCTCCCTGAATCTCCAGGCTTGAGTTCTTCTCGCGTGACAGCTCACCGGACACTTCACGGACCCGCTGCCGCTCCAGGTCAAGGCTGGTCTTCAGGTCGTCCTGGATGACCTTCTCCTGCTGCAGCTTGTACTCCAGGACTTGGACTGTCGGGAACAGGGGAACATGTCAGTGGGGACTTCACTTCACACCAGCACTTCAACAATTGTTCAACATCTGTAGCAATTCTGTTCCCTGGGACCACTCAGTTCTATGATCATCAGGACCACCTTCCCCTCCATTCCCCAGGACTACCTTTCCCCTCTGTTCCCCAGGACCAACTTCCCCTCTGTTCCCCAGGACTACCTTTCCCTTCTGTTCTCCAGGACCACCTTCCCCTGTGTTCCCCAGGACCAACTTCCCCTCTGTTCCCCAGGACTACCTTTCCCTTCTGTTCTCCAGGACCACCTTCCCCTGTGTTCTCCAGGACAAACTTCCCCTCTGTTCCCACCTTCCCCTCTGTTCCCCAGGACCAGCTTCCCCTCTGTTCCCCAGGACCAACTTCCCCTCTGTTCCCCAGGACCAGCTTCCCCTCTGTTCCCCAGGACCAACTTCCCTTCTGTTCCCATCTTCCCCTCTGTTCCCCAGGACCAACTTCCCCTCTGTTCCCCAGGACCACCTTCCTCTCTGTTCCCCAGGACCAGCTTCCCCTCTGTTCCCCAGGACCAGCTTCCCCTCTGTTCCCCAGGACCAACTTCCCCTCTGTTCTCAAGGACAAACTTCCCTTCTGTTCCCACCTTCCCCTCTGTTCCCCAGAACCAACTTCCCCTCTGTTCCCCAGGACCAACTTTACTCTCTGTTCCCCAGGACCACCTTCCTCTGTGTTCTCCAGGACCACCTTCCCCTGTGTTCTCCAGGACCAACTTCCCCTCTGTCCTCCAGGACCACCTTCAACTCCGTTACCAAGGACCACCTCCCCCTGTTCTCCAGGACCACATCCCCCTGTTCCCCTGGACCAACTTCCCCTCTGTTCTCCAGGACCACCTCCCCCTGTTCTCCAGGTCCACCTTCCCTCTGTTCCCCAGGACTACCTCCCCCTGTTCTCCAGGACCACCTTACCCTGCTCCCCAGGTCCACCTTCCCTCTGTTCCCCAGGACCACCTTCCCCCTTTTCTCCAGGACCACCTTACCCTGTTCCCCAGGACCACCTTCCCTCTGTTCCCCAGGACTACCTTCCCTCTGTTCCCCAGGACCACCTCCCCCTGTTCCCCAGGACCACCTTCCACTCTGTTCACCAGGACCACCTTCCCTCTGTTCTCAAGGACCACTTTCCCTCTCTTCCCTAGGACCACCTACTCTGCCGCTGCTGCTGCCGCTCCCTCTTGGCGTTGTGGTCCTCCAGGGAGGAGAGGGTGGTGCTGTACTCCCGCTGCTGCTCGTCCGTCTGCCGCCGCGTCTCACTCGCCTTCTTCCGCAGCGCCTCCATCTCCGACAGCATGGACTGCCGGTCCGAGTGGTGTAGCTGGTCCAGTGCTGACCGGTGGAGGACCTCCTGGAACACCAAGAACAGATGCTAATGCGAGTAAATAACAGACATTGTGTGAAAGACAGTGAATCCTATGAAGTTTACATGTATCAGAACAACTGAGAGCCAGTGGTACTGGAGCGGTTCCTTCCTTCATAATGTTAATTCAGACAAAAATAATTGTTTTAAAAATTCCTTCACCAATATTCCAAGAAGCAGGAAGCCAAACAAAATTGACACATGCAAAATTAATTAGTGAAGTGATAAGGGGTTTAACGGCGCATTCAAGATTTTTGCACTTATATAGCAGCACATGTGTGTGCGTGTGTGTGAGCATCTGTCTGTACCCGTCCGGAGTGAAGCCGGTTTTATAGTGCCAGCCCACTGAGATACCATGCTGCAGCTTAACTGAGATACCCCACTCAGACACATTATGCTGACTGTGCCGACCAGTCCTTGTTATATCCAGGCAGGACAACAACAAGTACCATCTTTTAACATTTTTTCGTTTGACACATCAGGGGATCGAATTGACCTTCAGCTCACAGGAAAGACATTCTATCAACAATACCACAAATCTGTCTGTGTAAAATTAAGGGTATGCCTAGCAATACGGCAGGCAGAGTCAATAGATTGTCAGTCACACTGTTTGTCTGATGAGAGAAGACCTAGAATCAAGCTTGGGACTGAAAAGGTAATTATCTGCAGCCTGTCATCAAGACGGTGTTTGTGTATGGATGGTAAACACACTGATGCAGGAATGCAACAATATATCGGTCCTAAAATTAAGGAGGTGAAATAATTTCAAGTCTTTGAAAGGCATTTTGAAGTGATACACATTAGAAAGAAAATTCATGGATGTCCACTTCATTATTATGAGAAACACAACAAATCAATTCACCTGCTGTAGGAGTAAGTATATACTCTGAAATGTTGTGTTCCTCACAATAAAGAAGTTGCCATTCATTAATTCTCTTTCCCATGAAAAAAGTTTGCTTGGGTTTTTGTTTTAAATAAAATTATTTCAAATAAGTTGACTGACAGTGAATTGGCTACCTGATCGGAGATTCTCTGTTCAAGCCTCCTGGTGCTGGGGTCAGCGTCGGGGGCGTGAGTGACCACATATGTCCGCAGTTCTGCCAACACAGCCTCACGTTCCTTGTCAAACAGTCCACAGACGGCCGCCAGCAGGTCTCCACGCCAGTCCTCCTCCCCCTCACACTGCAACACGGGGACAAGCAGTCTCAGACACTGGTGTCAGAGGTAGTCATATCTGTCCACGATCTAAAACTATCTCCAGATTGTCGTGAACATTCTGCAAATAGCTGATTGCATATAGCAATAATTACTCAAGTGTGAGAGTTCTTCTTGTTTATCTTGAAGCTGCATCTCGGTTGTCTAGCAACAGTGTCACACAGACACACCTACCCTGTCACACAGACACCTACCCTGTCACACTGACACCTACCCTGTCACACAGACACCTACCCTGTCAGTGTCACACAGACACCTACCCTGTCACACAGACCCCTACCCTGTCACACAGACACCTACCCTGTCACACCTACACCTACCCTGTCAGTGTCACACACACACCTACCCTGTCACACAGACAACTACCCTGTCACACCGACTCCTACCCTGTCACACAGACACCTACCCTGTCACACAGACACCTACCCTGTCAGTGTCACACAGACACCTACCCTGTCAGTGTCACACAGACACCTACCCTGTCACACAGACACCTACCCTGTCAGTGTCACACAGACACCTACCCTGTCACACTGACTCCTACCCTGTCACACAGACACCTACCCTGTCAGTGTCACACAGACACCTACCCTGTCACACCGACTCCTACCCTGTCACACCGACTCCTACCCTGTCATACAGACACCTACCCTGTCACACAGACACCTACCCTGTCAGTGTCACACAGACACCTACTCTGTCAGTGTCACACAGACACCTACCCTGTCAGTGTCACACAGACACCTACCCTGTCACACAGACACCTACCCTGTCAGTGTCACACAGACACCTACCCTGTCACACCGACTCCTACCCTGTCACACAGACACCTACCCTGTCAGTGTCACACAGACACCTACCCTGTCACACTGACTCCTACCCTGTCAGTGTCACACAGACACCTACCCTGTCACACCGACTCCTACCCTGTCACACAGACACCTACCCTGTCAGTGTCACACAGACACCTACCCTGTCACACAGACACCTACCCTGTCAGTGTCACACAGACACCTACCCTGTCACACCGACTCCTACCCTGTCACACCGACTCCTACCCGGTCACACAGACACCTACTCTGTCACACAGGCACCTACCCTGTCACACACACACCTACCCTGTCACACAGACACCTACCCTGTCAGTGTCACACACACACCTACCCTGTCATACAGACACCTACCCTGTCACACAGACACCTACCCTGTCAGTGTCACACACACACCTACCCTGTCACACCGACTACTACCCTGTCACACAGACACCTACCCTGTCATACAGACACCTACCCTGTCACACAGACACCTACCCTGTCAGTGTCACACACACACCTACCCTGTCACACAGACACCTACCCTGTCACACAGACACCTACCCGGTCACACAGACACCTACTCTGTCACACAGGCACCTACCCTGTCACACACACACCTACCCTGTCACACAGACACCTACCCTGTCACACAGACACCTACCCTGTCATACAGACACCTACCCTGTCACCGACTCCTACCCTGTCACACAGACACCTACCCTGTCACACTGACTCCTACCCTGTCACACAGACACCTACCCTGTCAGTGTCACACAGACACCTACCCTGTCACACCGACTCCTACCCTGTCACACCGACTCCTACCCGGTCACACAGACACCTACCCTGTCACACAGGCACCTACCCTGTCACACACACACCTACCCTGTCACACAGACACCTACCCTGTCACACCGACTCCTACCCTGTCACACCGACTCCTACCCTGTCATACAGACACCTACCCTGTCATACAGACACCTACCCTGTCATACAGACACCTACCCAGTCACAAAGACACCTACCCAGTCACACCGACTACTACCCTGTCACACCGACTCCTACCCAGTCACACAGGCACCTACCCTGTCACACACACACCTACCCTGTCACACAGACACCTACCCTGTCACACAGACACCTACCCTGTCACACAGACACCTACCCAGTCACACCGACTACTACCCTGTCACACCGAATCCTACCCGGTCACACAGACACCTACCCTGTCACACACACACCTACCCTGTCACACAGACACCTACCCTGTCACACAGACACCTACCCTGTCATACAGACACCTACCCTGTCACACCGACTCCTACCCGGTCACACAGACACCTACCCGGTCACACAGGCACCTACCCTGTCACACACACACACCTACCCTGTCATACAGACACCTACCCTGTCATACAGACACCTACCCGGTCACACAGACACCTACCCGGTCACACAGGCACCTACCCTGTCACACACACACACCTACCCTGTCACACAGACACCTACCCTGTCACACACACACCTACCCTGTCACACAGACACCTACCCTGTCATACAGACACCTACCCTGTCACACACACACACCTACCCTGTCACACAGACACCTACCCTGTCACACACACACCTACCCTGTCATACAGACACCTACCCTGTCATACAGACACCTACCCTGTCATACAGACACCTACCCTGTCACACAGACACCTACCCTGTCCACATTGTTGGCTTTGTGCACCCTGGCCAGGAGGTCCTTGAGTGAGTTGATGGTGGACAGCAATGTCTCACGTTCTCTCTCCCAGGCCTGTCGCACGGCATCAATATCAATATCGCCCTTCAGATGGTCATGAGACATGTGCCGTTGAAGGAACTGGAGCTCGGAGAGTGTAAGCACATGGACACCCTTCTTGTGTAGCCGGCTCAACAACACCTGAAACAATGGCCACATTGACGATGTTATACAGATAGTGTCATACAGACGGTGTCATACAGATGGCGTCATACAGACGTTGTCGTAGAGATGGTGTCATAAAGATGGTTGGATGGAAAGTGCTGTAGGCCAAGGACTGAATCAAAATATCCGTTGGCTCCTTAAATATTCATGTTTAATATTCTTAACTAAACAAAAGAAATTAAAGGGCTGACAAACCAACACAGATTTATATGTTTGTTATGTTTTGTTTTTGTTTAACGCCGCATTCATTTCCAGCTATATGACCGCGGCCTGTCAATAGTCAAGTCTGGACCAGACAATCCAGTGACGATCAAAGCTGTCAGGTGACGATCTACCAAGTCACCTAGTCGGACCACCCGCTTCATTAAGTAGCCTCATAAATCCAGAATGTGGACATTCTAACATGGTACCACCACAACTCGGCATGCCATCCTACCTGTAGCTTTGTGGATATAGCACCAGGTGGCGCTGCCTCAATGCTGGCCGTGTCGGTGATGCTTGTGGTGTCCGAGTCTTCTCCACCCGGTCCGTCAAGCTGCTCCATGAGACGGTTGTCCATCAGTTCCGTCTGCTGGATGTCGGAGATCAGACTCTGCCTCAGGTCTGTCACAGATGCATCATCTCGCACTGGAAGAAGACAATGATGAACCAGTCATCTGGACACTACGTAAATAGACTATTGGTTTAGCAGTGGAAATTATACTCCTCAGGATATAAGACTCTCATTCAATTTAACCTGCAAACATATAGTGTGCTGTGTTCAAAATGTCTCTTTACCATCTTCAAGCAACTCATCCCTTAATAAACCTCTAGTATTGCTCCTCTACCAATCCAGGCCTACCACACCGACCATCCCCCTTCCTACCTCACCCCGTCCTACCTCATCCCCTCCAACCTCACCCCATCCGGCCTTAGCCCGTCCTACTTCACCCCCTACCTCACTCAGCGTTAGAAATTGGCACTAGTCCTATAGTCCTTGCTAAACTGCCCAATAGTTAAAGTATCATAAGGACGAGTAGAAATTTGTCCTTTTAAAGGGTTCTGCTATATGTTACCATTATAAGGACTAGTGGACTAAAACTGTTAGTTTCTACCGCTGCTCACTCCCTTCCAATCTCACCCATCCTACCTCACCCCCTCCTACCTCAACCCCTCGTACTTCACCCCCTCCTACCTCACCCATTCCACCTCACCCTATCCTCCTCCACCCTGACCTAGCTCACCTCGGCCTTCCTCACCCCGACCTACCTCACCCATCCTACCTCACCCCCTCCTACCTCGACCCCTCGTAATTCACCCCCTCCTACCTCACCCATTCCACCTCACCCTATCTTCCTCCACCCTGACCTATCTCACCTTTTTCTACCTCACCCCGTCCTACCTCACTATGACCCTCACCAAATCCCGATCTACCTCACCTCATCCTGACCTACCTCACCCCATCCTACTTCACCATGACCTACTTCACCTTGTACCTCATCCCATCCTACCTCACCTCATCCTACCTCATCTCGACCTACTTCACCCCATTCGACCTCACCCCAACCTGACCTATTTTACCCCACCTCACCCCATCCTACCTCACCTCGTCCTACCTCACCCCTACCTCACCCATTCCTACCTCACCCCATCCTACTTCACCCTGTCCTACCTCACCCCTTCTACCTCACCCCATCCTACCTCACCCCTTCTACCTCAACCTGTCATACCTTACCTCACCCTACTTCACCCCATCTTACCTCACCCTGTCCTACCTCACCCCATCCTACCTCACCCCTTCTACCTCAACCTGTCATACCTTACCTCACCCTACTTCACCCCATCTTACCTCACCATGTCCTACCTCACCCTGACCTACCTCACCCCCTTCTACCTTACCCCGACCTACCTCTCCCTGTCCTACCTCACCCTGTCCTACCTCACCCCATCCTACCTCACCCCATCCCACCTCACCCCATCCTACCTCACAGTGCACATCCCTCCACATCTGTTGCACCCACCATCCCTCAACATCCGTAGCACCCACCATCCGTCCTCCCCCTGTTCTACTCACCGATGCCCTCATCCCGGACCAGGTCCACCTCCTGCTTGTGTTCCGCTATCAGTCTGTTGATCTCCGTCTTGTGTTGCTTCTCCAGGTCCTGCCTCTGCTCGGCGAGGACGGCCTGCATCTTGCGGTCATGGAGCTGACGGAGCTGCTTGATCTCATCTTCATGTCGGAGCTGCAGCGTGGTGAGCTGGGACTCAGCATCCATCTTGAGTCGCTCCTGGATGTCCCGGATGTGGTTCTTGTGTTCCTCGGATAGCTCCTGTCTCAGCTCCATCACCTTCTGCAGGGGAGAAAACCAGTTTGGTTCAATGCCGCTTTGAGTGAGTCAGTTAGTGAGTATTGTTATACGCCGCTTTAAGCAATATTCCAGCAATATCACGGCAGGGGACACCAGAAATGGGCTTCACACATTATACCCATGTAAGGAATCGAACCCAGGTCCGGCACAATGCTGCTTTGAACAGTATTCAAGTATATCACAGTGTGTTAGTTTGTGGGGAGGAAAGCTCCCAACAATTGGGAATCAAACACAGGTCTCTGTTAAGAGTGAGTGAGTGAGTGAGTTGGGTTTAACGCCGCTTTTAACAGTATTCTAGTTATATCACGGCGTGTCAGCTTAATGTGGGAGGAAAGCCCGAAGTGGTGCAGGTCTCAGACGTTTACCACTTCGGTGAAACCCACGAGCACGGGTATGGTGCTGACAAACCTAGAAACATAATCGGGGCGAACCGGGATTCGAACCCACAATCATAGGTTTCTTGCATGCCCAAAGGGCGCAACTCTGCACAGCGAATCGCGGCGCCTTAGACGACTGGGCCGACCGTGCCCCCTCTCTGTTAAGAGCAAACACTTAGGCCAGTAGGCTACCCTTGGGTGCAGGTCAGCACATCATTCAAGTCTGTTAAAGTACATACTTCAATCAGAATTCATACAACAAATTCTGATAAGGATTGATATTCCTCCTGTTTCAGTGCAAAGCTGACATTACATTGAAACGACAACATTATATCATGTCCACTTTCCAACACAATTCCTACAGCTGCTCACCTTAACAAAATCTCTCGATGACATAGAAGCTGTTGTCTTAAATATTTGAAGCTCTTCCTTCAGTTGGGCTACTTCCCGCCGAAGATTACGAGCATCTTCTCCCAATCTCAGAGGTGATTGGTCATCCTCCGTAGCACTGCCCTCAGGAGTTCGATCAAGGAAGTCACCGTTATGATGAATTTCTGCAAGTGCCGATTTGGCTTTCCGTAGTTCGTGTCTCAGGTGGCGTATTTGATGTTCACTTTCAGGAGGAGTTGCCTCCCTTGCACTAGAATACCGCTGAGACTCGGATGCACGGACTGCATGAATTTCAGTGTCCCTTATAAGGAGAGTTTCATTTAATTCATCGATTTCTGCTTGAAGGAGTTGGTTCTTCTTATCACGTTCCTGACAAAAAGAAAATATATTTTATATAAATTAAAAAAAAAAAATTTAAAAAGAAATAAGCAAGGGGTTAGTCTTAGATCATCCTAAACAAGCATGAAAATCTCATATGGCATGTCTGGTTGTGTGCAGGGCAAGAAATACTGTATGGTTTTCAAGATCTGCTCCAGAAACGAGCACTACCGCCAAAAGTCCTTCCCAAACAGCACAATAGTTATCATAAGGTCTAGTAGAAATTTGCCATTTTTAAGTGTTTTGCTATATGTTATCATTAGAAGGACTCGTGGACTAAAAATTGTTAGTTTCTACCACTGCTTGCCCCTTCATCAGGTTAATCAGGTCTTTCGAAATGGTTATAAAAAACTTGACTGCTGGAAAGAAATACAAGACAGCTGAATACTTGATAATACTTGAATACTAGGTACCAAATACTTGCTACTGACCTGAATCTCTTGTTGGAGTGATGTTATATGTGTCTTCACGTCTCCGTCTCCGCGGTCCTGGGACAGCCATTGCTCCAGCTGTTTACGAACGACCGACAACTCTTTGTTCTTGGAGCCAAGTTCCTGCTTCTGTTGACGCACAAGACTCTCCACCTCGTGTAAACGTGACCTAATCAACAAGAAATATGCAGTGAGGTGAGGTAGGGTGATGTCAAGTTCAAGATGATTTGACTTATACATAAAACATGTCTGGACTAATGCTGGTTTTCCAGTGCCCCACTGAGGTACCATTCTGGATACCCTACTCACACACATTATGCCGACTCCAGATGCTCAGTCCCTTTATCTCCCTGAGCGCCAGGCAGGGAAACAACAAGTACCGTCTTTAAGTGACTTTTGGAATTATGCTGACTCCAGCTGCTCTGTCCCTTTATCTCATCAATGTTGAGCGCCAGGCAGGGAAACAACAAGTACCAACTTTAAGTGACTTTTGGAATTATGCTGACTCCAGCTGCTCTGTGCCTTTATCTCATCAATGGTGAGCGCCAGGCAGGGAAACAACAAGTACCATCTTTAAGTGACTTTTGGAATTATGCTGACTCCAGCTGCTCTGTCCCTTTATCTCATCAATGTTGAGCGCCAGGCAGGGAAACAACAAGTACCAACTTTAAGTGACTTTTGGAATTATGCTGACTCCAGATGATCAGTCCCTTTATCTCATCAATGTTGAGTGTCAGGCAGGGTAACAACAAGTACCATCTTTTGGTATTACCCATTCAGGGATTGAACCACCCATTTTCCGCTTTCCAGGGAGACACTATCAAATAGACCTGGGAGGCGGTCGAATATGCAAGGTAATACTGGATTATTTCCATTGCCACATACAAACAACACCTACGTTGTTGTTCTCAATGTTGTGATGCAAAGGGTGTCATCAACAACTTATATCAGGGAATGTTGTTCATCTCACTGCATCACTATTACCATCAACGTTATCAATATCAATGTCAATGTTGTTGTCAACATTTATATCGATGTTATCAATATTTATGTTGTTGTTATGAATATTTATATCAATGTTGTTAATATTTATATCGATGTTATCAATATTTATGTTGTTGTTATGAATATTTATATCAATGTTGTTAATATTTATATCGATGTTATCAATATTTATGTTGTTGTTATGAATATTTATATCAATGTTGTTAATATTTATATCGATGTTATCAATATTTATGTTGTTATGAATATTTATATCAATGTTGTTAATATTTATATCGATGTTATCAATATTTATGTTGTTGTTATGAATATTTATATCAATGTTGTTAATATTTATATCAATGTTATCAATATCAACCTCAATCTGGTTATGAATATTTATATCAATGTTGTTAATATTTATATCAATGTTATCAATAATTATGTCATTATGAATATTTATATCAATGTTGTTGTTAATATTTATATCAATGTTATCAATATTTACGTCATTGTTATCATGAATATGTATGTATGTATGTATGTATGTTTGTATGTATGTATGTATGTATGTATGTATGTATGTATGTATGTATGTCAATGTTTTTTATGAATATTTATATTAATGCTATGAAAATGTATATCAATGTTGTTAAGAACATATGTTATTTCAACATTGTTATAAATATCAGTAATAAATATGAATGTTGTTATCAATTTCAATATCAATGTTGTTATTCTCAATGAATCAATATCAATGTTTCCAACATCAATATAATCATAAACATTCTTTTTAAAATATCTACTGTTTATCGTCAACATCAATGTATTTATCCCAGTACATAAGTGAGTGAGTGAGTATGGTTTTACGCCGCTTTTAGCAATATTCCAGCAATATCACGGCGGGGTACACCAGAAATGGGCTTCACACATTGTACCCATGTCGGGAATCGAACCCGGGTCTTCGGCGTGACGAGCCAACGCTTTAACCACTAGGCTACCCGACCGCCCCCCCTGTACATAAACATCAACATGGTTATCAATAGCCATCACATGTGTTACCATGGTTACCCTAATGCATTGATACCGACATGACTGTGTTTATCTGCAATGTCTCACAGACAATCTCAGTGTTACTCCACCTAACAACAGGGAAGGACAACATCCACCACACAGCCTAACACACAAATAACTGTGACGACAGTGACAACAACTTATGATCATAGTGAGTGAGTTGGGTTTTATGCTGTCTTTAGCCATATTCCAACAATATAACAGCAGGGGAATCGAACCTGGGCCTTCTGTGTGACAAATGAACGCTTTCCCCAATAGGCCACCCCACCCAATTGTATGACAACCAATGCTGACAATTCATCACAACACATTCCTCGTTCAACTCCATTGACATTTTCAAAATGTTCAAAATCAGGAAAACAAGATGTAACTTGTAAAGAATTTCATGAACTTTAAAGATGTAGAAATTACTGAAATCACATCATCAGAGTTGTGTATATTACCTGAACAGATGACTCTCACGTCTCCAGTTATTCAGTGCCGGTTCTGACTCCGATCGAGTCATCAGCTGATGATCCTCATCCAAGTCCAATGGCAGAGAGATTGACAGTTGATCTCGCTGCGCATTGGTCAGTTCAAACGAGGTCTGCTTCAGCTTCTCCTCCGTCTCGCGTAAGTCCTTCAGTATCTTCTCATGGTCTTCTTCCACAGTCCGAAGACGAGATGACTTGATCTCAAGTTCCTCTTCCGTTGCTGTGAGAGCTGTAGACAGTCGTTCAAGATCCTCGTCTTTTTCCCGTAACTCTAGTGAGAGTTCATACACTTCCTGTTGTGAGTCCTCCAGAGCTCGATTCACTTCCTCTTGTGACTGACTGCTCGTGTCAAGCCGAGGCTGAAAGTTTAAATATTACGTCAACGTTCGTTACAAAACCTTATTGTCAGATTAAGTTGGATCTGGTTCAAGGGTATTAATATTTTTCAGATGAAGTTGGGTGTCATTCATAACCACTAATGCAATATGCACATCAGTTTGGAATGCATATGACCCTACAACAAAAATTCAAAATCTCTTTTTGCCATTTTTACTCTAAAATATGGTGTGATGTCCATTTTCAGAATAAGTCAATAAACAACTAACGTAATGGTGTAATCACTGACTGACACTGAAATATAGCATGAAATTTGAGATAGCAGACAAATAATTGTGAACCTGAATCCAACTAAGGGAAACCTAAATGAATGTTTTTGCAAACAATTGCAACCTAATTCCTAGTGAACTTTAGAGATACCATACAACAGTTAACAACCAGCAGTGCCCCATGCAACCAGCTGTAACACAATTCAGACGTCCATTTTAAGTCATAGACAGGCTATGTGGCCTGGCTGTTTCCAAAAGAAAAGAAATAATTTCCTCAACTCAATGTAGAAAGATTCAACCACATGCATACATCTTCATAAACATCCAGAAACATTAGAGTGATCTCCCCTGAACAGGTAAAAAAGACTGACAGGAAAGCACACACTAAACCATACTAACTACTATATGTTGTATCCTTAATGGCACAATAATACACAGCTGTTGTTACATGATGAATGAATAAATTTTAATCCTACTTTACCTGAACAAACAAATTCATAAAAAAAGTAGTTAAATAACAGCATATACAATATTTTATGACATTAAAAAAAATTCATATTAAAATACATATTCAGCAATATGGGAGTTGCTTGAATGAATCTTCGTCAAACTATATACATATCCCATCAACAAGGTACACCCAACCCCAAGCCCCACCCACAGCCTGCCCCACCCACAGCCTGCCCCACCCACAGCCCACCCCACCCTCACCCCTAGCCCAGCCCCACTCCTTCCACCACAGACACAGACAGACATCACCACAACATCAACTCAAATTTTCTGAACTGGAAATTAGCTCAATCAAAAGACATGTTTTAGTTTAACACAACTTTCCACACAAACCCTGAAATCACTTCAAAAATTCAAAACTCAACACACAGGAAAACAACCAACCCGAGACAAACTGGTGACCTGAAAACATTCCAATGTTCAGACACTAGAAACACTGGTCACAGCCAGGAGACGTGGACGCGGTCTCTGAGATACCACAGACTCAGTGGCTTCTGTAACCGTGACCCAGAATGTGGATGTTCTGTGTCTCCTTCAAAGCTATTTATATACACAGACTCTGAATCACACCTCACTGTAAAGCAGCAGTGGTAAGAATGCCATCACTCCCTCATTATAGCATGTGAAATGTCAAATGTGATGAGGAAATTGTTCAGATAATTGATCAAATTGACGGTTGAATTTTGAAAATGAATAATTTTGAATAATAATATGATAGTGTCATTATGAAATAATATTCATGTTTCAAAGTTTCAATAATAAACTTGACAATAGTTCCAGCAACAGTTAATTTACATTTTTCAGCTTTATTCTTATTTCATTTTTCCATCTTATTTAGCAAAGCATGCCCTGCATAAATTTTCTGGAAAACTAATTATTGGTCAGAAAGTACTAAATAAAACCACAAACTATTTACTTGTTAAAAATATTAAATTGGAGGAGCAAGCATATATTAAATTTCCAACTAAATGCCCAACTTCATTCAACAAAACAACTTATCAGCAGAATAATTTTTTTCTCTTTTGGAAGCTAGAGATGGAAGTGTTTTTCCCAGAGAGGTAACTTTGCAAAATACAAAACTGGTCCGTATTATAAAATGACCACACCAATGTCAGGAGCAGGTGCTTCACTTGCCATCTCCAGAGGCAGCATCGATTTCACCACATGTGTTCCCAGTGAAGAGTGAGTGAGTGAGTTTTACGTGGCTTTAAGCAATATTCCAGGAATATCACGGCGGGGGACACCAGAAATGGGCTTCACACATTGTACCCATGTCGGGAATAGAACCCGGGTCTTCGGGGTGACAAACAAACGCTTTAACCACTAGGCTACCCCGCTGCCCCCCAGTAAAGACAGGCTCCCATTACAGACCACCACATACATCTCATATCATTATATTTCCATTTCTCATCAAACCATTTACATATTCCCATAATCAACAAAATAATGAATTAAGGTTTCAAATGAAATATAACCAAACCCTAACAATGTCTTCATTATCCTCAGGGCTACAACTGTTGTGAAACAATGTCAAACAGTGGGAGTGAAGATGGTCACAGCAATACACTTGCTTTGTGAAACAGTACCCAGGCATCGGTTTTTGTTTTACACGACAGTCGACAATACATTGGTAAATGTAAATTGGTCTGTGCCAGGTCACCTTGCATGACCATCTGATCCAAGTTAGTCAAGAAAGCAATGCTGGGGACCAACTCAAACCCAGGGTCCAGTTCCAGGAAGTGATCGTAGCACTATCCCTGTCGTAAGCCTGTTAATGTATTGAGTTACAATCATCTTAATACTAAGATTGCTTTGAGGATTTCAGTTCCCAGGTTATCGACCTTCAAGTTTTAAGCCAACATTCTGAAAAGCAAATGCTCTTTAATTTTTTTTTAAATGAAACTCAATAATCCAAAGTGCAGCTTACCTGTCCCTTTTCAAAGAGAGCCTTGATTTGTTCGTCTCTCTCGGCCAGCTGCACAAGGGTCTGCTCCAAGCTCGTCTCTGCAGCCAGCAGCTTCTCCCTGGTCTTGCCCAGCTCTGCCGTGACCTCCCTCACCTTCTGCTGGGTCTCGGCCAGGACTCCCATGTCGGGCTGCCTCTCCTGGATCTGGTGGATCTTCTGGATCTCCTCCTCCAGCTTCCCAGCCTCCTCCCGCATCTGTTGTTTCAGGTCTTCGTACTTGGCCTCCAGTTCTTCTATTCTCAGGTTCTTCTCCTGGACCTGCTGCTGAAGGATGTGGAGACCCCCCGTCTCTAGCTGCTGCTTCTGTTCTGCACAGTGTGATTCCAGTTCTATGATCTTCAATTCCTTCTCCTCGATCTCCTTCTGAAGGTCTCTCAAACGTTCACTTTCCTCTGAATCAATCTGTCCTGAACTTGTGTCGGTTTCCTTGTCTTTCAGTTCTTGTTTCAGTTTTGCGATGAGTTCTTCTTTCTCTGAGAGTTCATTCTTATCATAATCTAAGTTTTCTAAATATTCTTGCTTTTCCTCCAGCTTTGTTTCCAAATCTATGACAGTCTGCTCCAGCATGATCTTATCAGTAAGGAGTTGGTCATACAGCTGTGTCTTCTCACTCAACTGTTTACTGAGATCTGACTTTGCAGGAGTAGCTTCAGAATTCTCTAAACTCAATCTGGCCAACAATTCTTCTTTCTCATGTAAAGCTTCTTCAAGCTCACTTATTTTCATATTCAACTCTTCCATGATATTCCTGGTCTCATTGGCAATGTCCGCATCTCCTCCGATGCTGCAATCTCTTTCAGCTGGGACACCTTCAACTTCATCGATGAGATCAACAACAATCGCATCTTCTTCCACAACCTCTCCACCATCAATCCCTGATGCATCCCTCCCTCTCAGTTTTGTCTCCAGGTCCTCAATCTTCTGCCTTAGGTCTTCAACCTGTCCTTCTTCAATGCTTTTCTTCTCTTCCTCCAATTCAACAATCCTCCTCTGGAGCCTCTCCACCTGTCCCTCCTCCTCTTGGCCAGCCTGCTGCTCCTCAAGCCAGACCTCCTTCTCCTGGAGTTTGCCCCGAACATCATTCAGCTCCTTCTGCTGTTCGCTCAGTCTCTCTTTCAGCTCCTCCACTTCAGCTCGGACACTGTCCAGCTTCTCTTCTTTCTGAGACAGCTCTTCCTGGAGTTGACTGATGCTGACCAAGCTGGACTCCTTTTCGTGGCCATCTTCATGACTGAACTCCGCTGATGAACTCTCTAGCTTCTGTTGAAGAAGTTTGACCTCTTCTTCCAAGTTCTGTTTGGCAAGCCGTACATCATCCAGGGTCACTTCAGTGTCAGCTAGCTGTTGACGAACTGTGGACAGCTCACCACCGATGGTATCCTGGTTAAAAAGAGAAAATCCCGGTAATAATCTGACACAAAGTTGCAATTTGTCACACTACCAATGTTATAAGCACGGTTATTAAGCCAAAACTGCTGCCTGATTTGCTGCATCCTTGGACATGTTGGAGTAGGCAAACTAGTAATCAGGAGTATAAGGATTGCTAAACATCATCAGGGTACTGTTATGTAGAAACAAATAACTTCACAACATTCAAATCTAACCAAACATGGGCATGCCCAAGAAACCGACCATTTAATATCTAATGATGTCTGTTTCTCTCTACATATGTTTGGGAGTTTTGTTGGAGTGTGTATGTGTGTGTGTGCGAGTGTTTTACACTGATCTTAGCAATATGTGAGTCGTGTGCTGATGTTGAGATGTGTGTTACCTGTAACTCAAGTTTCTCGTTCAGGACGTACAGCTCCTCCTCCTTCTCCTCAATGATGTTCACCTTCGCCTGGATTGTCTTCTTGAGACTCAGGAGCTCAGCGTCATATTTATCCTGAAAACCAGCACAACATTAATCTCACATACATGCTGCTGCAACACTTCGATTTAGGCTAAAAAATCAATCAGGCCACAGACACACATTGTTTGGGACAATCTGCCCGATCCTTCAAAATAGCTCAGATCTGATTATTTTCTGACATTTTTTACTTATTTTTTAGTGAGTTGTAGAGTAGGAAGTACCAAGGAGAGATATATGCACTTGCTCACTAGCACGGGTCATTTAATCTCAACGATGCCCAAAAAGTCCTTATTTGGAATTCAGAACCAGTATGTTGGTTCCTTGTGAGTGAGTGAGTGAATGAGTATGGTTTTACGCCCCTTTTAGCAATATTCCAGCAATATCACGGCAGGGGACACCAGAATTGGGCTTCACACATTGTACCCATGTCGGGAATCAAACCCAGGTCTTTAGGTAACGAGCGAGCGCTATAACCACTAGGCTACCCGACCGCCCCCTGTGGGTTGGTAAACATTTCTGGCTGACTTCTACATCTGAGTACCTGTAGTTCAGAGGTGGCTCCCTCTGGTGGTAGGCGGGATTCGGTCAGCTCTCGTGTGAGTGTCTCGATCTCCCTCTCCTTCTCTTCTAGCATAGACTGGACAGTGTCGAAGTCCTTCTGCAGCTCAGTCTGAAAGTGCCATGTTAGTTGAACACATGCACGAATCAGTTTATCACTTTTTGTTTATTGTATAAGTGTAATGGATAATCAGCATAAAATATGAAGCATTTTCATTTTTCTAAAAGGTTTTTGCACTTTTTTCAACTATTAATGTATCTGGTGATGGGAAAAAAAACAGAAATAATTTCACATGGTTCTGAGAAGAGATGGGACATTATACATTTATATATACAAATAAGATTTTAAAAACAGTATAAGATAATGCGGCAAACTGACTCTTTGACTGGCAGATGAGTGAGTGAGTGAGTTGGGTTCAACGACATTTTGAACAGTATTCTAGTTATATCACAGTGTGTCAGTTTTATGTGAGAGGAAAGCCTGAAGTGATGCAGGTCTCAGACATTTACCACTTTGGCGGAACCCACAAGCACAGGTATGGTGCTGACAAACCTAGAAACATAACCGGTATTTGAACCCACAATCAATGGTTTCCGGTGCCCAATGGATGCAACTCAGGGACTTGAGACGACTGGGCCACCCCATGCCCTGACTAGTAGCTGAACAACATCAAGGGTCATGACGCAGTTGGACAAGACCCATGTGGATCACAGTAACATCTAGGGACAAGCACAGGGAGGCGGCCATGTCAAGTTGGAGATGGTCTTGCCACCAACAGGCAAAAGTTAGCTTGGTACAATATAGAAAACTATGATACAGTGGTTAAAAAGCAGGCAGAAGCAACCTGGATAAGTTTACACATTAAATAATAATTGTCCATTGATACAGCATTAGGCTAAACGAACAAAACACACCCATTGCATATTATCCCGGTCAATAGATGAGTGTGCATTGAGTTACATTCTCAACTCCCTGGGGAGTATACCCCCCAGGCTGCCTGTCACGTGCTAGACTGGTTTCATTTCCTTATCTGCTGCTGCTGCTGTACCCTGATAAGATGTACAAGCAAGTTTCAGAATCATTATTATTATTATTCCAAGCACACCTCAGCATGTGTTAACATTGCAAGCAAAGTGAGTGAGTGAGTGAGTTTGATTTTACGCCGCTTTTAGCAATATTCCAGCAATATCACGGCGGGGGGACACCAGAAATGGGCTTCACACATTGTACCCATGTCGGGAATCGAACCCGGGTTTTCAGCGTGACGAGCGAATGCTTTAACCACCAGGCTACCCGACCGCCCCTTGCAAGCAAAGGTGCCGATACTGGGAGAAATATTTCTGAGTCTGTGGAAACTGATTTTGATGACAATCATGGCTACCCAGTACCCAGTACATTATGGTGAATGTTGGATTGAAACCCGCAATCACGGCTACCCAGTACCCAGTACATTATGATGAATGTTGGATTAAAACCCGCAATCCCGGCTACCCAGTACCCAGTACATTATGGTGAATGTTGGATTGAAACCCGCAATCACGGCTACCCAGTACCCAGTACATTATGGTGAATGTTGGATTAAAACCCGCAATCCCGGCTACCCAGTACCCAGTACATTATGGTGAATGTTGGATTAAAACCCGCAATCCCGGCTACCCAGTACCCAGTACATTATGGTGAATGTTGGATTTAAACCCGCAATCACGGCTACCCAGTACCCAGTACATTATGGTGAATGTTGGATTGAAACCCGCAATCACGGCTACCCAGTACCCAGTACATTATGGTGAATGTTGGATTAAAACCCGCAATCACGGCTACCCAGTACCCAGTACATTATGGTGAATGTTGGATTGAAACCCGCAATCACGGCTACCCAGTACCCAGTACATTATGGTGAATGTTGGATTAAAACCCGCAATCACGGCTACCCAGTACCCAGTACATTATGGTGAATGTTGGATTAAAACCCGCAATCCCGGCTACCCAGTACCCAGTACATTATGGTGAATGTTGGATTAAAACCCGCAATCACGGCTACCCAGTACCCAGTACATTATGGTGAATGTTGGATTGAAACCCGCAATCACGGCTACCCAGTACCCAGTACATTATGGTGAATGTTGGATTAAAACCCGCAATCACGGCTACCCAGTACCCAGTACATTATGGTGAATGTTGGATTGAAACCTGCAATCATGGTTACCCAGTACCCAGTACATTATGGTGAATGTTGGATTAAAACCCGCAATCACGGCTACCCAGTACATTATGGTGAATGTTGGATTGAAACCCGCAATCACGGCTACCCAGTACCCAGTACATTATGGTGAATGTTGGATTAAAACCCGCAATCATGGCTACCCAGTACCCAGTACATTATGGTGAATGTTGGATTGAAACCCGCAATCACGGCTACCCAGTACCCAGTACATTATGGTGAATGTTGGATTAAAACCCGCAATCACAGGCTCATGGCACAAGTCTGGGCAATGAATGACGGGGTCCGGACAACCAGACACTGTGTCCCTTGTCACACTTTGACCCACAAATGATTTTCATGAAATAATTATGATTTTTTTGGTGATTATTTTCTAAGGCAAATTTGAATTGTTATTGAGTATACTCTGATGTGTATTGCTGATATTATTCCTGCATCACTAATAACTAAATAGCTCCAAACTTTACATCAATACCAAAAACAACTGCCTAAGAAATCAAAAACATATCAAGCACCTGTTCTCATCATTTTGAGCTCAGATTTTACCAACTAATCTGTGAAAATAGAGATAAAAGTAACAATTGTAATTTTTTCAGAAGGAATCAACATTCATATATCTCTCAATGTACAGAGGACAGATTCTTGCTGGAATCTAACACAGATTCAAACACAGTCACAATCAAGTCCTGTTTAGAGAGAGTCAACTGTCATATGTACAAAATGCAGGCAACTTGGATAATATACTTGTTCTTGAAGCAGGTTTTAGTGACAAGCAGTAAGTGTATGACAAGCATAAAGCTGAAGACTACTGGTAAATCTTGTACATATAATTCAAATTTGTAAAATTCAGATGGGTTTTAGTGTATAAGAAGTTTGGGATTTCAAAATTATTTTCAAAAATTCAGCTAATGAGGAAATAACTCTATTGTAAATAACTGCTGTACTTCACTTCTTGACTCTTTTCAAATTAATTCAGCAGTTTATGGGTTGACTAAGAGGCGTCATGTACATGTCAACTGTGTGTGTAGCTCCATGCAATCACAGGCTGAGTCTACATAGGTACAGATTACTTCAGAATCAAGTATTTACTATGATGCCAAGTATCATGTCTTTAATAACAAATATTTGTTCTTCCTATCAAGTTACCCGCCGTGATATTGCTGGAATATTGCTAAAAGCGGCGTCAAACAATACTCACTCACTCACTCCTAACAAGTTATTAAATTTGTGCAATATTCAACAACTCTTTAAATAATGTACCACCTACCCTCGCACAACTCATCAAATGTCCCCACTTCACATAGAGATTGTAATTTTCATTTTAAGGACATAACGATCCAGGACATGAATCATAATTAACAGGAAAATCAGTTAACTTTCAAATATTCACAAAAGAACAAGATTCATTTAAAACAACATACCTCACACGATTTTAACTTTCTAACTTCCCAAGTAGAACGAAAAAACTGCCAAGGAATATTCCAAGAGGCCATCCTCACAAGAAAGTGACGCCAACATGCAGACAGTTTGCAGACAGAAGCAGACAGCGAGGGACAGAGGAGGAGGGACTCAAGAGAGACTGACCAGATGACCATGCAAACATCCCCTTGGGGGGCACCTTGTGGGCGGGGCTACTGCAGGATTGCTACACATCTACATCTTCAGGTTTCTAGCATCACATGCATCTGGTTGGATTTTATTTGAGGAAGGTAATCATTATATGTCATACATTGAAATTACATGTATCTTTGATTTAGCTTTAGCGTGCAAACATTTTTTATGCATCTGAATTATTATTATTATTATTATTATTATTATTATTATTATTTGAAGTTGGGTATTATTATTATTATTAATATTATTATTATTAATTGAAGTTGGGTATTATTATTATTGAAGTTGGGTATATCTTGACCCAGTGTTTATTCATTTGATTAAAGATAATTATGTTACAATTATTTAGAGTTTAATCATGATAGATCATGTGGCATATAACAAACAACTTGACAATATTCAATACTTTGGTTCCCAATACATTCTTTTATTTACATGTTTGTTTGAAAACTAAATATCAAAGGGTTTTGTTATTTTATTCATTGAAAATACAACTATGATTTTTTTCACAAGTTGTATTTGATTTAGATATGATGATGTCTGACACATATAGTCAACCATTCAAAGGGATGCATTAAGCTCCCGAAGCAACGAAGAAAGCTATATCGCTTTGTGGAAAACAACTCAAACACGAAACATACATACTTCCTGGACATCTGTGATGATAGATGCTGCTACTTAACACAGCATAACACAGCTAGAGATCACTGATTAGCTACATCTGGCTTGTATATTGCATGTATATTTCACCAGTGATATGTACACCAAGGCATAGTGATATAGCTGTATCACACATCTGGGTTGTATATTGCACGTATATTTCCCAGTGAGTGATATGTACACCAGGGCATGGTGATATAGCTGTAATACCCAGCTGTTGTATAATCAGCTGACATCACAGAGGCAGTGGTTACACACAGATTAATTGCAAGTCTTCCTCTGGGTACCACGGTAATAGTGAGTGTGTGAGTGAGAATGGTTTTACGCCGCTTTTAGCAATATTCCAGCAATATCACGGCTGGGGGACACCAGAAATGGGCTTCACACATTGTACCCATGTCAGGAATCGAACCCAGGTCTTCGGCGTGACGAGCAAATGCTTTAACCACTGGGCTACCAGACCACAACACCAAGGTAACAGTCTTCTATGATTATATGTTGACAAACATGTGATTTCTTTTTTTAACATATCTTCCATGACAGGTTATGTGACACTCAAGGATTATTCACTTACAACCTAAACTGGATATAGACAAGACTTACTAGTTTAGCAACTTACATTCTAACCAGTTATATCAAAGCCATTTCATAGTTCTTCAGTATCAATGCTTTTGTGAGGCTAAAGTTCTGTCTATAATTAAAAGTATTTAAAGTCAAGACATTTGTATTCATATTCTAACAGCAACTATGGACTAACTGCCAACAAAGTAAAAGAAACCAGTAACTTTATTTTTTGTTTGCCCATTAAGTATTTCCCTGCTAAATGCTCTTATGGCTTGATCAACCAGCATAGTTGTGTTATGGACAAGTCATTCCTGAAGCTTGAAAAAGTTTTAAAAAGATAAATAAAAATTCTGTTTTTCTTTCTTAACATCTTCTTGAATGTTTTTTGGTTGTTGTTTTTTTATTTCAAGATTTTGTTGAAAAATTAACATCATACCATCACTGGCAATATTTTTCACTTTTGCCTTCCTGTCTCTGGTCAGATTGACCAAGATATTTGGTCATCCTAAAACTGGTAGGACCAAGCGGATTCTAAATCTCTAACAAACCAACATGCTCAGGGTGATCCAAGTGCTATATCTACCATTAACGTCTTTAACATACAAAGAATACAACAGTTTTCAGTTATACCACGGCATGTCTGCGTAACAGGAGAAGAAAGCCAGAAGAGATGTAGGTCCTACGCGTTTTCAGCTTAAGCCAATATCCACAAGCACAGGCCATATTTTGCTTCACAAACCAAGAATCATAATAGGGCGAAATTTTAAATTCAAAAAAACAATTTAGCATACTAGGGGAGGAAACTCTGCACAGGAAATTGCAATGCATCAGGGGATTGCTTCAATAATACGCTGGATAAAGCAGTTAGAGCCTCTGTGCTTGTGGGTGCTGAGCTCATGGTCCTGTTGAAGAAACTAATCTAGGATTTCTATATTGAAAGTCTATGAAATGAGGTTCCTGCTATACGAGCCCCTGAACAAATGTCAAGCAGTCCTACACTGACACGAGTGTCCAGTAGTGACACTTTCCCCTATACAGTGGAGAGATGGGGTGAGGTGATATGGGGTTTAACGTTGTGTCCAAGATTATTGAACTTACATAGCAACATGCATTCACGTGTGTGTGAGTGGCTGCTTGTACTAGTCCTAACTAATGCTGATTTTATATTGCTAGCCTATGAGATACCACGCTGCAGTTTAACATGAATGGTTGGTTGGTTTGGTTTGTTCTTTAACGCTGCATTCAGCAATATTCCAGCTATATGACGGAGGTCTGTAAATAATCAAGTCTGGACCAGACTATCCAGTGATTGACATCATGAGCAGCGATCCACGCAATTGGGATCAATGACATGCATCAACCAAGTCAGCGAGCCTGACCACTCGATCCCGTTAGTCACCTGTTACGACAAGCATAGTCGCTTTTTATGGCAAGCATGGGTTGCTGAAGACCTATTCTACCCCGGATCTTCATGTGAATGCCCAACTCAGACACAGTATACTGACTCCGAGCTGACGGGGTTCTTGTTTTAGCCCTTAATGACAAGTGCCAGGCAGGGTAACAACAAGTACCATCTTTTAACAGGGAAAGAACCCCTACAAGTGGTAGTGGGGTGGCGAAAAGTGCAACTAACATGCCCGATTGCATTTTTAGTACAATATGGCATCCAATGCTAGAAATGTTGCTGAGGCATCACTGAAGACTACCAGGGTGGATGCCATCCTTGAATGTGCATTTTCTGCATTTTAGGGGCCATAAAAGTGTTGTTTTGATTCATAATTTTTTCATAAAAAAATAAAATAAAATATGTTTGATTGTGACTTCAAAATCATAACTGCTATTGTTCATAAGACCTATATTTCCTTAAACTGCCAATATTTTGGTTCATCTGGAGATGGAAAGGGGTCATCTCAAAAGCTGGAGAGAGGGACAGACATCCACACAGACACCAGTACCTGGAAGCCGGTGAGTGACTTGATCTCCTCCTGGAATGCATCCACTTGGACGTTCACCTGCTCCAGAGCGAGCTGTTTGTGGTCTCGTTCCTCTTGAAGGTGATTCAGCTCTGACTCCCGCTCACTCAGATGACCCTCAAGATTCTCCCTCGCTTCATTCGCCTCAGCCAGAGCAACTCGAACCTCCTCGAGCTGTCTCTGCAACTCATTGCTGTCGTTGTTGCTTTGAAGGTGAAATTTCTCTTCAGACTCTTTCAGAGCTTTTTGAGCCTCCTCCAGTTGTGTTTGATGATCAGGGTTTGGTTGAAGCTGTAGCTTCTCCTGAGCATCATTTAGAGCCTGCTGAACCTCCTCCAGCTTCTGTTGAAGTTCACTGTCCTGAGCAATAACCTTCTCTTCAGCTTCTTTCAGAGAAACTCTGGTTGTTTCTAGCTCTTTCTGAAGCACAGACATCTTCTCACTGTGTTCAGCATGTAATTTCTCCTTAGCATCCTTCAGAGCTTGATGACTTTCCTCAACTGTCTGCTGAAGTTCACTGTCCTGAGCTGTAAGCTTCTCTTCCGTTTCTTTCAAAGATATATGGGCATCTTCTAGCTTTTTCTGAAGCTCAGAGTAACTGTCACTGTCCCCAGCTTGTAATTTCTCCTCAGCATCTTTCAGAGCTTGCTGAGCCTCTTCAAGTTCTTTCCTCAGCTCATCAACATCCACATCATCCTTATCTGTTAACTTTTCTTCTGCTTCCTTCAAAGCCTCCTTTGATTCCTTCAGTTCTTTCTGGAGGTCACTATTCTGAGCATCAGTTTCTTTCAAAGCCTCCTGCACCTTCTGCAGCTCCTTTTGCATCTCATCAATCTGCTCCTGAGCTTTCAGTTGTTCCTGAGCCTCCTTGAGAGCCTGCTGTGTCTGCTCCAGTTCCATCTGGAGACTCTCCATCTGGTCCTTCTCATGAGACATCTCGTCTTTGTCCTCAGGAATCTCTTCAGGACTCTGTTCCTGGTTCTCCTCAAGACTCTGTTCCTGGATCTCTTCAGGACTCTGTTCCTGGTTCTGCTCAGCATCTGTAAGAGCCGTCCGAGCTGATTCCAGTCCCATCTCAAGCTTCTTCACTCTTTGCTCCATTTCAGTTTTCAAACTGATTTTCTCTGCCTCCACTTCTGTGAGAGCTAACTGCGATGTTTCAAGCTCCTTCCTCAGATCAGACATTTCATCCTCTTTCTGAGCTATGGTCTCCTCTAACTCCTGTTGGAAGTTGGTCTGAAATCAAGTCAGTTGTTGACCAAGACATACCTCTAATAGAAAAGTCTTTCACATAATGGTGCTACCAATAGCAACAAACGTTCATGCAATTCTCCCCTACAATCTCTTATTCCTAAACTCCCTTTCCAAAATGATAATTAAACAGTTCATAATTTGTAAGCTGGGTATTCAATGTTTCAGGAAAATATCTGCTTGACATCCATTTCTAAAACCAAGCTTAACCAAACATCCAAGGGGGAGATAATTCTAAAATAAACCACATGAAGGCTAGGTTTTCCCACACACCAATCTAGAGGGTGAATATTCTACGCTGAATTAGATCAGGCAACCACCACCACCACCAAGCAGAGGACAGTCTCACCTTCTCTGTGAAAGAAGACTCCAGTAGACTTCGGTCAGCATCTGTCAGAGACATGTCTCCGAAAAACTGACTGCCACGGTTGACCGATGACAGTTTCTCCTGTAACTCGGAGATTGTTTCAGCTTTCTGGCGTAGATCTTCTCGAAGTAGTTCCATTTCATCATTCTAAATGAAATTTGATTAATGAAAATATCTAATTTACAAAACAATCACCTGTTTCCTTCATTTTACATTTTCAGTTTCTGTCACAAACAACTATGTTAAATGTTACAGAAATCAGTGGAAATCTGTTTTCCTCTTCTTCAATGCATGTGTCTGTATTCACTTCAAGCAAAGGGTTTCAGATGGGACTCTTCTTGATTATTATCTTTACAGCAACTTGAGATCCAAATATTTCAACAGATATATTGATTTGATCAAACGAGTTGTAAAGAATGAGTTTGCCCTCTTTTCCTTATTCTCTCCCCTCACACCTGCATTTCTCTCTCACTCCTACCTCCCTCCGTCTCCTCGCTCCCACACACCTGCATTTCTCTCTCACTCCTACCTCGCTCCATCTCCTCGCTCCCACACACCTGCATTTCTCTCTCACTCCTATCTCGCTCCATCTCCTCCCTCCCACACACCTGCATTTCTCTCTCACTCCTACCTCCCTCCATCTCCTCGCTCCCACACACCTGCATTTCTCTCTCGCTCCTACCTCGCTCCATCTCCTCGCTCCCACACACCTGCATTTCTCTCTCACACCTACCTCCCTCTGTCTCCTCGCTCCTTCCTTCCCTCACACCTGCATTTCTCTCTCGATCCTACCTCCCTCCATCTCCTCCCTCCCACACACCTGCATTTCTCTCTCACTCCCAGCTCCCTACCCTCTCCTCTCTTTGCTCATTCCCTCCAACACACCTCCCACACCCCATTGGCTCAGACTTCTCCCAGCCCTGTCACCCACCTCTCTGACACTGTCATCAATGATAGAGGTTGCCTCGCTCCTTCCTTCCCACACACCTGCATTTCTCTCTCACACCTACCTCGCTCCGTCTCCTCACTCCCTCACACCTACATTTCTCTCTCACACCTACCTCGCTCCGTCTCCTCGCTCCGTCTCCTCGCTCCTTCCTTCCCTCACACCTGCATTTCTCTCACTCCTACCTTCCTCCATCTCCTCGCTCCTTCCTTCCCTCACACCTGCATTTCTCTCTCACTCCTACCTCACTCCTACCTCGCTCCATCTCCTCCCTCCCACACACCTGCATTTCTCTCTCACTCCTACCTCCCTCCATCTCCTCGCCCCTTCCTTCTTCACACCTGCATTTCTCTCTCACACCTACCTCGCTCCATCTCCTCCCTCCCACACACCTGCATTTCTCTCTCACTCCCAGCTCCCTACCCTCTCCTATCTTTGCTCATTCCCTCCAACACACCTCCCACACCCCATTGGCTCAGACTTCTCCCAGCCCTGTCACCCACCTCTCTGACACTGTCATCAATGATAGAGGTTGCCTCTAGTGCCATCTGAAGTTGACTGATCTGCTCCGACAGATCATCGATTTCCCGGTTCTTCTCATCCAGCAGGTCCTGTGTCAAGCGTGGCAGTCCGACCTCGACTGAATCTTCCTGGTGTCCAAGAAGCTTCTCCACCTCCGCCTGCACAGAGTGAGTTAGTGAGTGAGTGAGTCATTGATACTGGCTTAACTGGTGCCCCATACCTACCTCCCCTCTCCCCACTTCAAAACCAGAGTCATTTCAACAGACTTGCACAAGGACATAGTTTGAAACTGTACAAAACTGGAACTCTGTCATAACGCAGTAAGCGTTAATTGGATTAATCAGTGCCAGATATATTATACCATGTCTGGTGTAAAAGCCACTGACATACCTTGAGATGAGCATTCTCCTCCCTGGCCTTGAGAGCAGGGTCGACAGAAGCCTGGTGGTTGCTCTCATCCAGCTCCGCCCGGAGTCTCTGGACCTCCGTCTCCTTCTCCTGCAGCTTCTGCTTCAGCCCATCCTTCTGCTCCTGGAGGCTGGTCACCTGTATTATCATACAGTACAGTGGAATGAGTGAGTGAATATGGTATTTTTTAGTGAGCTCATTTAAATACTATTTCAGCAATATCACGGCGTCAGACACCAGAAATACGCTTCACAGATTGTACCCATGAGGGGAATTGAACCCAGGCCTTAAGCGTGACAAACGAACGCTTTAACCTAACGGTTCTCCACCGCCTATCAGTTGTACAGTATATTGTACACATGACATCAGTACACATCTCCTCCCTCCATCCATCTCTCCATTTCCTCCATCTCCTTCACCCATCTCCTTCACCCACCTCCTCCTCTTTCATCTCCAGTGACTCTCTCTCCACCGCCAGCCTCTCCCTCAGCTGTGATGCGTGGGTTGCCGTGGGCGCCTCCCCTCCATAGTGCCGCATGTCATCCAGCTGGTTCCTCAGCGCTGAGATCTGCAGGAGCTGCTCTCTCACCTGCTGCTGGAGGACGTCCTTCTCCAGGGCCAGTTCCTGAAGGCAATACACAGTCAGTATCACAGCATTGGACAGCATATCAGATATAACACAGCCTTGGACAGTATAGCACAGCTTTGGACAGTATAGCAGCTATATCACAGGCTTGGACTGTATAGCAGATATATTACAGTCTTGAACAGTATAGCAGCTATATCACAGCCTTGGACAGTATAGCACAGCCTTGGACAATATAGCACAGCCGTGGACAGTAGAGCAGATATATCACAGCCTTGGACAGTATAGCAGTTATATCACAGCCTTGGACAGTATAGCAGCTATATCACAGCCTTGGACAGTATAGCAGATATAGCACAGCCTTGAACAGTATAGCAGCTATATCACAGCCTTGGACAGTATAGCAGATATATCACAGTCTTGGACAGCATAGCAGATATATCACAGCCTTGGACAGTATAGCAGCTATATTACAGCCTTGGACAGTATAGCATATATAGCACAGCCTTGAACAGTATAACAGCTATAGCACAGCCTTGGACAGTATAACAGTTATATCACAGCCTTGGACAGTATAGCAGTTATATCACAGCCTTGGACAGCATAACAGTTACATCACTGCCTTGGACAATATATCTGTTACATGACAGCGTATCAGGAACATTCCACAGGGCCAGTTCCTGCAGTCTAGGACAAACATTACAGCCAGTCAGTTTAACACAGCCTTCCCCAGTATATCTATCACATCACAGTGTACCATGTGGTGAATCGAACCTGGATCTCTGACATGACAGGTACACAGAGTGAGGTGTTCTGAGGCCTGTTCAATGAAAACAGACAGGAGCTCACAAATCAAAAATAACACTCAGCCCAATACTGGATTTGAACTCAGATTCTAGCCATTAAAGGATGATAGGAATGGGCTTCACATATTGTACCTATGTGATTGTCGTATTCGACATAATAAGTGCCCCGCTCTGATGAGCACCCCTATTTCTAACTTTGAGAGCGATATTTGAAACTGGGTTTTCAGCATGGCAAGCAGACCCTCTAATCCTTCAGCTGTGAACTCCAACATTAGAAACATGTGACACAAACAGTCTCTGCTTTCCTGACCTCTCATTACTTCCATGAAATCAGCTTTCAAAGTATGTCAAGTTTTATCAAACAGAAGACAAAACCATAATGACAATCCTACCTCTCCACTCTTCTTCGTCCTCTCCAGTTCTTCCTCCAGGGTGATCTGTCTTCTCAGCGGACTGCGCCGGTCTGGAGACATCAGGTCGGGTTTAGAGAGTGGCTGCTCAGCCGTGGAGTTGAGGGAGCTGTCTGACGTTTCATCGGGCACCGGCCTCAAGGACAACTGCTTCTCTAGTCTCACAATTTTCTGGAAACACCAAGAGTGTTTATATAGTTGCTCATAGAAAGTGAGGTGAAATGTGGTTTAATGTCGCGTCCAAGATTATTGCACTTATATAGCGACGTGCATGTACGTGTGTGTGTTTGTGTGGCTGCTTGTACTAGTCCGGACTGATGCCGATTTATAGTGCTAGCTCACTGAGATACCATGTCGCAGTTTAACATGAATACCCCACTCAGACACAGTATACTGACTCCGAGCCGACCAGTCCTTGTTTGAGCCCCTTAATGCCGAGCGCCAGACATGGTAACAACAAGTTCCATCTTTTAACGTCTTTTGGTATGACGCAGCTGGGGATCGAACCCCGGACCTTCTGCTCTCCTGGCGGACGCTCTACCACAAGACCCTGGAGGCAGTCAGTTGCTCATAGAAATATAGCACCTTCACAAGGAATTTTCAGTATTTTAAATATAGAATCCATTTGTACATCAAAACCTCAACTTCACCAAATGCCAGTCTACCAATGCATGACTAGGAAAACAGAATCTCCGTGGAGATATCATTTCATCTCCCGCATGCAGTATCTCCTGGTGAAACAAGAATTGGGTAATACAAATATTTTCTACATTTGCAAACAAATTCGTGACGAAGACCCACCTGCTTCAGCCCGTGCTCCAAGGCAGCTCTCTCATCCACTTCCTGCTCGAGCTGCGTCACCCACTCCTTCAGCTCAGAGGCTGTCAGCTCCTTGTCCTGAAGGACCAGGCGTAATCTGCGAGTCTGCTCATCATGCTCCCCCTCCACAGCCAGACGGTCCTGAAGCTGCTCGGACAAGACCTGCACCTGCAACACACAGCACAACACCAGTCAGACACACAGCACAACACCAGTCAGACACACAGCACAACACCATTCAGACACACAGCACAACACCAGTCAAATACACAGCACAACACCAGTCAGACATACAGCATAACACCAGTCAGACACACAGCACAACACCAGTCAGACACACAGCACAACACCAGTCAGACACACAGCACAACACCATTCAGACACACAGCACAACACCAGTCAAATACACAGCACAACACCAGTCAGACACACAGCACAACACCAGTCAGACATACACCACAACACCAGTTAGACACACAGCACAACACCAGTCAGACACACAGCACAACACCATTCAGACACACAGCACAACACCAGTCAAATACACAGCACAACACCAGTCAGACATACACCACAACACCAGTTAGACACACAGCACAACACCAGTCAGACACACAGCACAACACCAGTCAGACACACAGCACAACACCATTCAGACACACAGCACAACACCAGTCAAATACACAGCACAACTCCAGTCAGACACACAGCACAACACCAGTCAGACACACAGCACAACACCAGTCTGACACACAGCACAACACCAGTCAGACACACAGCACAACACTAGTCAGACACACAGCACAACACTAGTCAGACATACACCACAACACCAGTCAGACACACAACACACCACACAGATTTTCTTCTGTACCAAATGGATTGAGTTGTAAAGTCCTAAAAGATGGTGAATGTACAAGACCCTTCCTCCCTTTGTGGCCGGCCCTGGCCACTCTGTTCCTAGTCAGACACACCACACACCACAAACAGAAAGATTGTGAATGTCCCTACCTCCCTTTGAGGCCGGCCCTGGCCACTCTGTTCCTAGTCAGACACACCACACACCACAAACAGAAAGATTGTGAATGTCCCTACCTCCCTTTGAGGCCGGCCCTGGCCACTCTGTTCCCAGTCAGACACACCACACACCACAAACAGAAAGATTGTGAATGTCCCTACCTACCTTTGAAGCCGGCCCTGGCCACTCTGTTCCCAGTCAGACACACCACACACCACAATCAGAAAGATTGTGAATGTCCCTACCTCCCTTTGAAGCCGGCCCTGCATGGCCACTCTGTTCCCACAGCACCAGTCAGACACACCACACAGAAAGATTGAAGTCGGCCCTGGGCACTCTGCTCCCAGTCAGACACACCACGTACCACCAGTCAGACACACAACACAGCACACAGAAAGATGGTGAATGTACAAGCTCCTACCTCCCTCTGGAGCCGGCCCTGGGCACTCTGCCTCTTGTCCCGATCCTGCAGCATCTCCTGGAGCCGCTCCACCTCTCGCTGGTAGTCCTCCCGCTCCTGTTCCCGCTCCCCAGACTGCTCCTGAACACACAAACACCAACACTCACTCTTAGGTTTTACCCCCTTTACGTCGAGCGCCAGACAGGGCAACAAAAAGTACCGTCTTTTACAGTCTTTTGGTATGACCAATCCAGGGATCAAACCAAAGCCCTTTCCCTCTCCAGGCAGGTACTTTATCCACTAGACAACAGAGGTGGTTTTGTACCAACCAAACCAATAATAGCTACGACTGTGGGATGATCGTCGTAAAGCTAAAATGTGTATGGGACGATACAGAGATAATGATTTAAACTCTACAACAGCAGACATAACTCGATATTCATGTCCACATACACCCAGGAACCGTGAAGATCTGGGGTAGAATAGGTCTTCAGCAACCCATCATTGCCGTCAAAGGCAACTGTGTTGTCATAAGAGGCGACTTACAGGATCAGGTGGTCAGGCTCGCTAACTTGGTTGAAGCATGTCATTGTATCCCAATGGCGTGGATCGATGCTCATGATGTCAATCACTGGATTGTCTGGTCCAGACTCGATTATTTACAGACCGTCGTCATATAGCTGGAATATTGCTGAGTGCAGCATTAAACAACGAACCAACAAAACTTACAGCCAGAAACTGTTTGGAGGCCTTCAGCTGTCTCTCCACACTGTCCAGCTGGAGGCGAAGGTCCTCTATTTCTTCCCGTTTGCGCTCCAGGCCCTCTTCATGGAGCCGCTCCATCTCCTCCACACCGAGCTCCAACTCATGGATCCGAGACTGGCTCCGGTCCAACTGGTGTTTGGTTTGCTTCTCTAGCTCCTGTTTGTCCACGGTCAGACTCGTCACCTCAAGAAGCAGCGCTAGCAGCAGATACCATAGGTCAGAGCCATGTTCACAAAGACAGCTTACACTTCACACTGTCATAAGTCTATATTATACAAATTGAGTAACGGTCGTCATCAGATGTAAGTGTATAACGGTTGTCATCAGTCGTAAGTCTATATTATACAAAATATAGTAACGGTCGTCGTCAGACGTAAGTGTATAACGGTTGTCATCAGTCGTAAGTCTATATTATACAAAATATGGCAACGGTCGTCATCAGACGTAAGTGTACAACGGTTGTCATCAGTCGTAAGTCTATATAGTTCAAAATATAGTAACGGTCGTCATCAGACGTAAGTGTATAACGGTTGTCATCAGTCATAAGTCTATATAATACAAAATGAGTAACGGTCGTCATCAGACCGGTCACCTCAAGGATCAATAAACTTATTGAGTCATGATCATCGTCAGAATGTCGACCTCATGGAGTACGGCCATGTTCACAAAGATATATTAGATTTAAGACCATCAGAAGTCTAAATAAACTAATTGAGTCGTGATCATCGTCAGAATATCGTCCTCATGGAGCACGGCCATGTTCCCCAAAACATTTTAATCTTCAGCCTGTCAAAATCTATATATAGATTTGAGATGTCATCAGTGTGGTCATGTCAGAGAGCAAGGCCGTGTTCATATAGACATCTTTGTGCTAAGGTTGTCATGTGCTAAGGTTGTCTTGTCCTAAGGTTGTCGCCTATTAAAGTATATGAATTACAATATTTGTTGTTTGACATCTTACTGAAACATGCACCAGTGAGGGAACTAAATGTCTTCGTTGGCACAAATACGTCTTTTTCATCATTTAAACCCCCTACGATTGCCAATGTTTTTGTGTCTGGGATGAAAAAGATGATGGATGAGGCCATCGCCTATGGTAGTCACAGTTTTTGTGAAGCTTTAAGAGATAAGACAGCGATCTGATTGGATATCCTGTTTCATTACAAGGGGCAATACTCGTGATCTACGCGAGGTGGCGGCAGGGTCTAGCCAAGAAAAGTGGCCTTGATGTGGCTAGGGTAGAAACTAGGCCTTGAAATAGGTTAGTGGACACGCTTGCCTCGGGGAGATGTAGAAACTAGGCCTTGAAATAGGTTAGTGGACACGCTTGCCTCGGGGAGATGTAGAAACTAGGCCTTGAAATAGGCTAGTGGACACGCTTGCCTCAGGATGATGTAGAAACTAGGCTTTGATACAGGCTAGTGGACACGCTTGCCTCGGGGAGATGTAGAAACTAGGCTTTGATACAGGCTAGTGGACACGCTTGCCTCGGGATGATGTAGAAACTAGGCTTTGATACAGGCTAGTGGACACGCTTGCCTCGGGGAGATGTAGAAACTAGGCCTTGAAATAGGCTAGTGGACACGCTTGCCTCGGGATGATGTAGAAACTAGGCCTTGAAATAGGCTAGTGGACACGCTTGCCTCGGGATGATGTAGAAACTAGGCTTTGATACAGGCTAGTGGACACACTTGCCTCGGGATGATGTAGAAACTAGGCCTTGAAATAGGCTAGTGGACACGCTTGCCTCGGGATGATGTAGAAACTAGGCTTTGATACAGGCTAGTGGACACGCTTGCCTCGGGAAGATGAAGAAACTAGGCCTTGAAATAGGCTAGTGAACACGCTTGCCTCGGGAAGATGTAGAAACTAGGCCTTGAAATAGGTTAGTGGACACGCTTGCCTCGGGGAGATGTAGAAACTAGGCCTTGAAATAGGCTAGTGGACACGCTTGCCTCAGGATGATGTAGAAACTAGGCTTTGATACAGGCTAGTGGACACGCTTGCCTCGGGAAGATGAAGAAACTAGGCCTTGAAATAGGCTAGTGGACACGCTTGCCTCGGGATGATGTAGAAACTAGGCCTTGAAATAGGTTAGTGGACACGCTTGCCTCGGGGAGATGTAGAAACTAGGCCTTGAAATAGGTTAGTGGATACGCTTGCCTCGGGATGATGTAGAAACTAGGCCTTGAAATAGGTTAGTGGACACGCTTGCCTCGGGGAGATGTAGAAACTAGGCCTTGAAATAGGTTAGTGGACACGCTTGCCTCGGGATGATGTAGAAACTAGGCCTTGAAATAGGCTAGTGGACACGCTTGCCTCGGGATGATGTAGAAACTAGGCTTTGATACAGGCTAGTGGACACACTTGCCTCGGGATGATGTAGAAACTAGGCCTTGAAATAGGCTAGTGGACACGCTTGCCTCGGGATGATGTAGAAACTAGGCTTTGATACAGGCTAGTGGACACGCTTGCCTCGGGAAGATGAAGAAACTAGGCCTTGAAATAGGTTAGTGGACACGCTTGCCTCGGGAAGATGTAGAAACTAGGCCTTGAAATAGGTTAGTGGACACGCTTGCCTCGGGGAGATGTAGAAACTAGGCCTTGAAATAGGCTAGTGGACACGCTTGCCTCGGGATGATGTAGAAACTAGGCCTTGAAATAGGCTAGTGGACACGCTTGCCTCGGGATGATGTAGAAACTAGGCTTTGATACAGGCTAGTGGACACGCTTGCCTCGGGAAGATGAAGAAACTAGGCCTTGAAATAGGCTAGTGGACACGCTTGCCTCGGGAAGATGTAGAAACTAGGCCTTGAAATAGGTTAGTGGACACGCTTGCCTCGGGGAGATGTAGAAACTAGGCCTTGAAATAGGTTAGTGGACACGCTTGCCTCGGGATGATGTAGAAACTAGGCCTTGAAATAGGTTAGTGGACACGCTTGCCTCGGGGAGATGTAGAAACTAGGCCTTGAAATAGGTTAGTGGACACGCTTGCCTCGGGATGATGTAGAAACTAGGCCTTGAAATAGGTTAGTGGACACGCTTGCCTCGGGGAGATGTAGAAACTAGGCCTTGAAATAGGCTAGTGGACACGCTTGCCTCGGGATGATGTAGAAACTAGGCCTTGAAATAGGCTAGTGGACACGCTTGCCTCGGGATGATGTAGAAACTAGGCTTTGATACAGGCTAGTGGACATGCTTGCCTCGGGAAGATGAAGAAACTAGGCCTTGAAATAGGCTAGTGGACACGCTTGCCTCGGGAAGATGTAGAAACTAGGCCTTGAAATAGGTTAGTGGACACGCTTGCCTCGGGGAGATGTAGAAACTAGGCCTTGAAATAGGTTAGTGGACACGCTTGCCTCGGGATGATGTAGAAACTAGGCTTTGATATAGACTAGTGGACACGCTTGCCTCGGGGAGATGTAGAAACTAGGCTTTGAAATAGGTTAGTGGACACGCTTGCCTCGGGATGATGTAGAAACTAGGCCTTGAAATAGGTTAGTGGACACGCTTGCCTCGGGATGATGTAGAAACTAGGCTTTGATACAGGCTAGTGGACACGCTTGCCTCGGGAAGATGATGAAACTAGGCCTTGAAATAGGTTAGTGGACACGCTTGCCTCGGGATGATGTAGAAACTAGGCCTTGAAATAGGTTAGTGGACACGCTTGCCTCGGGATGATGTAGAAACTAGGCTTTGATACAGGCTAGTGGACACGCTTGCCTCGGGAAGATGAAGAAACTAGGCCTTGAAATAGGTTAGTGGACACGCTTGCCTCGGGAAGATGTAGAAACTAGGCCTTGAAATAGGTTAGTAGACACGCTTGCCTTGGGAAGATGCTGGAAACTAGGCTTTGATACAGGCTAGTGGACACGCTTGCCTCGGGAAGATGTAGAAACTAGGCCTTGAAATAGGTTAGTGGACACGCTTGCCTTGGGAAGATGCTGGAAACTAGGCTTTGATACAGGCTAGTGGACACGCTTGCCTCGGGAAGATGAAGAAACTAGGCCTTGAAATAGGTAAGTGGACACGCTTGCCTCGGGATGATGTAGAAACTAGGCTTTGATATAGGTTAGTGGACACGCTTGCCTCGGGAAGATGTAGAAACTAGGCTTTGATATAGACTAGTGGACAGGCTTGCCTCGGGAAGATGTAGAAACTAGGCTTTGATATCGGTTAGTGGACACGCTTGCCTCGGGATGATGTAGAAACTAGGCTTTGATATAGGTTAGTGGACACGCTTGCCTCGGGAAGATGTAGAAACTAGGCTTTGATATAGACTAGTGGACAGGCTTGCCTCGGGAAGATGTAGAAACTAGGCTTTGATATAGGTTAGTGGACACGCTTGCCTCGGGAAAATGTAGAAACTAGGCTTTGATATAGGTTAGTGGACACGCTTGCTTCGGGAAGATGTAGAAACTAGGCTTTGACATAGGTTAGTGGACACGCTTGCCTCAGGAAGATGTAGAAACTAGGCCTTGAAATAGGTTAGTGGACACGCTTGCCTCGGGAAGATGAAGAAACTAGGCCTTGAAATAGGCTAGTGGACACGCTTGCCTCGGGAAGATGTAGAAACTAGGCTTTGATATAGGCTAGTGGACACGCTTGCCTCGGGCAGATATAGAAACTAGGCTTTGATTTAGGCTAGTGGACACGCTTGCCTCGGAAAGATGCTGGAAACTAGGCTTTGATATAGGCTAGTGGACACACTTGCATTGGGAAGATGAAGAAACTAGGCTTTGATATAGGCTAATGGACACGCTTGCCTCGGGAAGATGCTGGAAACACAAACTGACTGGGGCTTGGTAAGAAGTATGCTGTGTTGTCACAGATGGAACAGTTGAAAAAGGGCTGTGGGTGTGTCAGAACCGTGGGTGTGTCAGGGCTGTTGGTGTGTCAGGGCTGTTGGTTTGCAGGGCTGTGGGCGTGTCAGGGCTGTTGGTGTGTCAGGGCTGTTGGTGTGTCAGGGCTGTGTCAGGGCTGTTGGTGTGTCACAGCTGTGTCAGAGCTGTGGGTGTGTCAGGGCTGTTGGTGTGTCAGGGCTGTGTCAGGGCTGTTGGTGTGTCAGGGCTGTGTCAGGGCTATTGGTGTGTCAGGGCTGTTGGTGTGTCAGGGCTGTTGGTGTGTCAGGGCTGTGGGCGTGTCAGAGCTGTTGGTGTGTCAGGGCTGTTGTTGTGTCAGAGCTGTTGGTGTGTCA